GATTATGAATACCCCCCTCCAGTTAAAGTAAAGAAATGAGCTGGAGAGACTGAAACCATTTCTTGGACCAGTTAAAATGCCCATTTCTTGGGGTGGGTGCTTAGTTTTTGTTCTGAATTAAAATCTGCAAGAAAGGTAATTTATTGTGGCCAGTGAATTTCAAGTACTGTCAAGCTTCTTCCTCAAACACAAGAAGTTGTTGGAGCATTTGCAGCTAGCATTTGGATGTTTTTTTGCCACTTAGACGGCTGAGAGAAAAGTGGAAAAGTCAGATAAATCTTATAATGGAGTGTGAAAGCCCCCCCAAGACATGAAGGGGTTCCTGTGGCTGTGTGATGCCACAGCTGAATGAGAGCAGATGAAACACAGCTCTGTGCTGTTTCAGTTCCAGCACAGTTTCAGCTTCTTTGTCAGCATGTGTGAGTTTGTGCGTGCGTGCATGTGTGTGTGCGTGTGTGTGTGTGTATTTAGAGACTGAAAACTCATTGACATTCTCAGCCCAGGCTTTGGCACTGCAGTGTGTGTCTTTCATGTGTGAGAGACTGTCTATCAGTTTGTGTGTGTTATTATGTATTCACAAATTTGTGTGTGTGGCAGCATTGGCTAGCTGTTGTTACCATAGAAACTTGTCGGCCTAATGAGTGAGTGTCATGGTGCACATGTGGGGTTGGGTCAAATGAGATTAGAGAAATCTACGATTTGTAAATATTCAATACTAACACGCGTGTATTTAGAGTTTGTTAAGTCATCATGGCCTCTTAAGAACTCCAATGTGTTGACATTGCAAAAAAGTTGATGTTTCTGTTGGTTTTAACGTTAACAATTATTTTATCTTCAGTTAAATATTAACGGAATTAACTGATAGCAAACTTAACATCTTTGTTAGCACATTAACAGAGTTTAAATGTGGATTAAGTGCCATCTGTTGTTGTGAGTATATGTTTTGGGTGTATATTTGTGTGTGTGAGGCAGAAACTATGAAGAAGTGTTGGTTGTACATTATGTAAAATACTTATTTAACAGGCTTTTTTTTTTCAATTTAAAAAATAGAACATTTTATCAAAATATTGTAGCACCATGCATGTGTTTTAGATATTTTGTGTGTGTGTGTGTGTGGCATTTGTGGCAAGCCAGCATGACAAATGGTGCTCCAGAGCCTGTGGCAGTTATCTTGTGTGTGTGTGTGTGTGTGTGTGTATAATACACAGAGAGAGGATAATAGCAGATGCTCTCTCTGGTCTTGTAGACATGCTCCAATGCTGCTGCCATCTGGTTGGCTGAATGGAGCTGAAGGCGGGATGGTGGTCGCTGTGAAGTCATTGGCTGGTGGGAAGGCTTGAGGCTTTAAGTTCACTTAAGACAGAGAAAGAGGGAGAGAGATAGGACTGTTGCACAGAGGGGAGGGGGGCATTCTGCCCTGTCCAGTCAAAGGGGCAGATGGAGAGAGCACAGGAGGAGAGCAGAGAGCTATGCATGGTCAGGGAGAGGATGGGAGGATGTGAGAGCATGAATCAGAGCATGTTTTAAACTATTGGAACCAATGCACTGAAAACAGGCAGGTATAGTCATTTAAATGTTGAACACATTGGTTTATTGTATATTAAAGATGTACTGCCTAATCTGAGGCTGAACAGAAAAGATGAAGTATGCAGGTTCTTTGTCACTACTTTTTTGTTATTGAGTGAAACTGTTGCTCGTCAGTCTCTCAACTCATTAATGAGCCACATTCTGTAAAACCTTGTGTTTATTTTACACAAAGAACCAGAGCTCCTTTATGGGGAAAAAAATAAGGAAGTGTTTTATCACTGAGCCTGAGGCTGTGTCCGAAACCTCATACTAATGTAGTGCTCTACATGCTCAAAGAGTCACTAACCTGACAGTTAATATGCAGTTTGCACCTTACTAATGCTCTTCCTCTTCGTTTCATGACTCCAATCATGTATTTATGGTCCAAGTTACATTGAATGAACTAGCACTAAGCTAGGTCAACCATTGGGCCACGTAGTTCAGTGATTGAGAAAATAGCAGAAATAACTCAAACTAAAGCTGGGGGAGTGATACATAAATTACTCTGTTGCGAAATCAAATATGAATGACAGAATTTAGAATTATTGCAAACTTTTGAAAAAGTTTTGGTTGAAATCCACTGCAGTTAACATATGGATTTTGGTTTCAATTTTAACCCTATATACTCCACATATATAGAGTGCACACCAGTAGTTTTCCTAATGCATTTTTACACTTCTAAAGACAGGCTCGCTTTTGGTTACACATCCAGTTAAAATGGAAAATAATCTGGTTTTGGGCTCATTTTATAATCATCCAGTTGTCCATAAAGTTTCTTGTCCAACTTTGTTTCATTGATGATACATGTTCCCAAATATTGGCAATCACAATGCATAGTACAATGTTAGGGTTACCAACTGATAGCCAATCATCTTTGTTTTAAATATTCCAATGTTCATTACTCTTCGATTTCAAACCTCCTCTGGCACACTTGAAACACAGCATGTATAGGAAAGCTATGGTACACAACAGAAATGAGACAAACAGAGGGTGAGCTGAGCACGGCAGGGATGACTGGTGCTCTTTCTGAGAGGTTATCTTTGGTCACACAGGCCGAACTGTCTAGCTCCATCACATCAAACCACACACACACACACACACACACACACACACACACACACACACACACACACACACACACACACACACACACACACACACACACACACACACTGTGGAGCTGAGCCACAGAGGACATCCTTTTACCTCTGCTGCTCTTCTAAAAAAAAAAAAAGTCCTGGATCTTTTTTTACCCTAATATTCTCTCTTTACCTCTTTTTCTGCCTTTTTCACTGTCTTCCCAAATGCCAGTCATTTATTGTTTAGTTAGTAAAGCTGTCTGAGCACTTACTCATTCTTTCTTTCTGTCATTGGTGATACTTCCCGTTTTTATTCTGTTATTAAACCTTTCCCCCACCTTTGTCTTACCTCTGATCAATCTTTCTGCTCCCTCTTGTCTCAGTGCTGCCAGTTTCTCATTTCCTTTTACTCCCTTATACAGGTTTTTTGTGTGCATATTTCATCTACCAGCTCTTCCAGTTCGTATTTTATCTTTATGCTCCTTGTTTTATCTGCTGGCATTTGGCCATAGTCCTGCATTTCTTTGTTGTGTCATTCAAAATCGGCAGGCATGTGTTGCTTATCTTGCTTAAGCCACAAGGCTTTTTCTTTTTTTAAATTTGTAATAGAGTTTTATGAAGACTTGTTGTAAGATGCGAGTCAAAGGAAACATAAAGCAGATGGCTTGCAACAAGATATTTGCTTTCATTATGATGAAAGGTACATAACGAAAGAACTCCTAGAAACTAGAGTGTTTTGGTCTAAAATGTATACAGCAGTGTCTCTACATGTTTTTAAAGGTCAGTGCTGGACTGCTAGTTGTGTTGCTATGTAATTTGACAGGAAATTTCCAGTGCCCTTGCACATGAAGCTGAAGGAAGCACTCTGTACAGTCCCTGTTTACTAAACTTGAATTCATGTAGTGTTGGAAAAGTTGGAAACACAACTTGTCATTTTGAACATTCCAACTACTATGACACAAACACTGCAGAAGAGATGAATGAATGGTTGGGCAAAAACGTTAAATTAGATCTTCAATTTCACATTTTCTTTTAATGTTCAAGATCTTTACGGTTGGTTATTGTCCATTTACAATGACCAAGACGAGTTCTGAGCATTTAAACAATATTAAAACACACATTTTCTTAGTTAGCATGCATGTTGCTACCACTTTACATCTTAAAGCTTGTGGACACACCTCAGTTGCCGCTATCGATCCTACCAAGTCACTTTAGACGTTATCTTGCCATTCACTGCACATCGTGTATGAATTGTCCAGTATAGTTCACTTCACCATTAATGTTCTACTTGTATATACCTCCTATTTTATTTGTATTTATATTATCTTTTCTGTTTTTATTTTTATTTTGTATTACCTACTTCCACTGTCTTTGTGCTGCTGCTGCAGCGCCTGAATTATGAAGTAGGCCTATTATCTTATCTTTTGACTTTTCCACTCCAGAAAAAACAAAGGGGAGCACAGGAATGCATAACTGTCTTGCATACGACTTACTCTTTAAAAATGTGCAAAAATGTCTTACTAGTGTAGTTTGAAAGGTCAACTCTTTCATTATGTTGACCTTTATTTGTCTGTAGGATTGTAAACAAAGAATTTTTTGGTTGTTATGGTAACATGAAGCCACGCTATATCAAGAAAACAAAATGGTACAGTGTTGGATTGTACAATGTATGTAGCATTGACAATACTTTCATCAGAATGAAAACCCTCGAAATAATACAAATTGTACACCGAGTCTTTATAACAACATCACAGTTAGTGGCAGGCATCTCCACAGAGCAACTTAGTGACCTTTCATGTGAACTCGTCTGGATGTAGGAATGTCAAGTTCATGCATTCCAGTTATTCCTCTGCAAGCCGTGACTTTTTCTTTCACAGAGCAGCAACAGAAACAACCTGATTCCTCACCATGTGCTCTAATAAATAGAGGCAGCTGGTGTGTTCGCTCAGCAGGAAAAAAAAACACACAAATATATAACCAAGAAGTCTCACTGACCTAACCTGCCTCACTCAGAACAAACAGGAGAAGTCAATTAAAAACAAAAGCATGTTGGCTACATTAACAGGAATCTTTAGGATTCTCTTTGCATTATTATCCCAATGTAAATGACAAAATGTATTTGTTTTTATGTGGAGAAGAATCATTCTCCTGTTTTGTCTTTTAATCTTTTTTTCTTCACTGACACTACACATGCTTCAGACTTTAAGCCTTTTCATCTTGATGAGTCAGCACGGGAACTCTGTGTTCTTTGTCATCTCCTTGTTCTTGCTTTTCAGAGCGTATAGTTACAGCCACAGAGTGTATATTTACTGCTACATGCTCATTATTCTCTCTGTGCTCTCTGTTCCCTCTTAGGCCCTTGCGTCTCACCGAGCCTACCTCTTGACAGCTCGCATTCCTGCCAAGGTAAGAGAAGCAAAAGAATAAAATAAATAAAAGGTTAAAAATATTATCAAATGTTTCTTTGCAATAAGGTCAGCCGCCTGCATGTCCATCATGCATCTCAAAGTAATTCAGAATAGTTTCATTATCTCCTCCTGCTTCCTTAAAAAAACATTTGATTGACAGCAGTCATGTTAAATGCACAATATCTCCTAATCCCGTCATGTCAAGGAAACATGTCTCTCAACAACTGTTTTTTAATGTCCTTTTACAGGCTTGGTTTTGCGGTTCATTCTTGAACCTTTGTTCTGTAAAAGTACATGAGTTTAACTAAAAAATGTATGGTTTACACAGTTTATATTTATTTTATTTAACCTTTATTTAACCAGGTTTTTCCCATAGAGATGAAGAACCTCTTTTCCACGGGAGACCTGACTTAGACAGTCAGCAGCAAAGACACAAAGTACAGTTTACAAGGTCAAGCAGTCGAGCTAAAAACATCGACATCCTGTAAAATCAGATTCAAGTCTTTCATTTTAGATTTAAAAACATTTAAGGACAGCAGCTCCTTGAGTTTCAAGTCATCCTGCAACAGTTTCCAGGCTGAGGGTGCATAATACCCAAAATTACCCAATACCCAAAATTTCTGTGTGAGCATAAAGAGTTCCTGAGAACAATAAAGAATACTGTCCGTCCTGTACTTTTCTGCCTGATAAAAACACAAAGATAGTGTAGGAGCTGGCCAATAATGGCCTAAAATACAAGGGTAGAGAGCAGGTACCCGAGAGTGCAACTCACAATGGTGAGTCAGAGCTTTACAGTTTGTAACGAACCTCAAGGTGAAAAAATGTAGAAGTGCCATTTATTTCAGGTGTTACAAAGCCTCACAGATTCTTGAAGTCATTTCCCTACTCATAATTTGTCAATCCCTGTGTAATAGTGTGAATCAGTGTGTGTGTGTGTGCTTGGTTATATTGTGATTATACAGCTGGTTAACATTCACCACCGGGGCCGTATGACAGCACAGGTGGCAACTGTTAGCTCCATCACCAGTAATATAACATCTGTCAGCACCATTGTCAACACTTCCACATTACATCCAGCAGTGCTTAAATACAATGCAGATGTTCTTGAACACTTCCAGCCGTACCAGTTCAACAGTTATTGCTGTCTCTACTGCCACTTTTAAACTTCATATCAGACTTAAGTGTCTGTATTGCGACCCTCTGGCCTGGTCTGATCTGAAGTTAAACACAGGTTTACACAGAATGGAAAACATTTTTTTGGCTTAAGTCAGCTTAAGCTAACTTGAGAATTTATAAGAAACTTGCCAGTGAAAAGAAGCCAAGATCATAAATCTAAAGCCTTCAGTGTTGAGGGAGCTGTAGTGGCGCAGATCTTTTGAAATTAAACTTAAGCGGGATCTTGTTTGCTGTTCCACTAATTTTGACTTTGATTGGTGGCATATGATGCAAGCTTGTTATTTGAATCATTCCTGAAGTACTTGTCTTTAAGATCTTGAATATTGAAGACATCAGGACAAGCTTCCTCTTACCCAGGGGATTGTAGATTGTAGATTGTAGAATCTAAAGTGCGCTCAAACACTTACCTACAATGAACCTCGGGATGGGCTGAATGTTTAACTGCTCCAAGTACAGTACAGGACAGAACAATATAGGTGCATTTGAGCTTCAAGTCACTGATAATATAAATCCACTTTCTATGATATTCATTCATTATCTAAACCGCTTATCCTGCATCGGGCTGGAGCCGAGTGTCATTGAGTGGAATCTATGATCATGATTCTTTGTTATAAAAGTGCCAAAGTCTGAAGATAACATCATATCTTGTATGAAAACAATTCCCTGTTGCCCTTCAAACTGCTGCATGTTTTCCAGTCAATAAGATGCCTCAGGGGATGGTTTGGGTGATTGATTGTTGGTTCAAAAACGGATTTATCGCTTTATTGGGGGTTAGAAGAGGCCATAAAGAACATTCAAGCTGACCTTTTTTCAAATGATGTCATAGTTTTCCAGTGTTAAGGATCTGTGTAAAAAAGACTTAGCTGGCTTTGAGTCTTTTTTTCTGTTGTGCTCTCTCCTGACCAAAGTGGATCAGGCACTTGCTAACTCTCTCTACAATCCATCTTTTTCTACTATCACTGTCTTGTTTTTATCACACCTCAACCAGGATCCCTCATCTGTTGGCTTCTATCTCCTTCTTCTCAGCCCTGCTTAGCCTGTTAACAGCCACAGATCAGCTCAGGTCTCCTTTCTGTCTTTCCTTTAAGCCACATGTTCATCTTTCTCTCCCTCATCCTCCCCTTCTTTTTTAACAATCCAGATTACTTCTTTCTCTCTTCACCCCAATCCCCTTGGTTCTTTATTTATCAGCCCCCCCGCCCCTGCCCCCGCCCACTCACTGTGCAAAAGGTCAGCAGTGACATTTACATTTTCCTAATAGGCGAAAAATGCTGATCAGTTCAAAACGATTTCATTACAATGAGTCCTACATCAAAAACAGTTAAACAGCAAAGACTGTATAAAACACTCGATAAGGGAAGTTTATTGCACTCTCAAATTGGCACCAGAGGTTGCCACGTGGCAAACTGACAAATTTGTCAAAGGGCTTGATGACCTCCGGATCTCTCAATGCCAATCATGGTTATTTATGTGCTGCATGGAGTCTTGTTGCATAGTATTTTTTTGTTACAAAGTGAAGCGGTCCAGCATGCATAAAAACGGCTGACGGTTACAGTCGTATTGATTTTTCTGATGTGAAATCTATAAAACAGCAGAGATGACTCAACTGCAAATGAAGATTAGCCTCTGCTCACTCTTCCAACAAACACGCTATCGACCTTATACATCCTCTGTAGTTTCAGTTTTTTTTTTACTTTCCTGAGATCTGTTTATGTTTCTGAATCAAAGCTAAGACATGCAGTGTTGATTTTATGCCTCTAACATTCTGAAAGCATTGCATGAGCTGTGTTTGATCTATCATATGTTGGATACATCTCTGTCGGAAATCACTGCTGTGAATTTAAAATACACGAGAGAACTATCTGTAGGTGGAAGACGTAGGGATGCCAGAGGCTTTAATATTAAAGTAACTGTGCTGCAGTAGCAGTAAACCCCCTTGGTTAACCACTAACCAGTTTTTTTTCCTTCTCTCAGCTGTAGTTCAAATCCCCCTTTAGCTCTCCAATGCACTTCTTGGACTGTGTGACTCTCAGATTGATGGTTTGGCTCCTCTTGAGAACCTGCAGGGCCCTACAGTCTGTCTGTTTCTGCTCCCAACATACTCTAAGGCCAGCACACATACACACACAAACAAACACACTTTCATTCATTGCTCAGTTTTTCCTTTTAGTCTCTTTTTGTAGCCTCTTATTTCTGCATATTTCACATACTGAACCTGTACATTCTTTATATCCTTTTTTTCCTGACGCAGAAGTATGGGAGATTAAGAAACAAAAGAACACACTAAAGCATACTCCTCATAACTTAGATACCCAGACAAAACATAATGCAGAATGTTTTACCTAATCTACTGCAAATTAGCTCATCCACTGCAAACTATCTCAAAGTGCCTAGGAGAGATAAATATGCAGCTTTAACATATTGAAACAACAAACAGTTGCTTATTCATCACAGTACTTTTTCATAATGCATCTTGTTACATTTCATTCCATTTTTCCAAATTAGAACCAATCCCTGTTCATTTAATCATCCTCTGCATTAAAACAACTAAATGTTGAATTGTATATCAACTATATATATATTTAAAAAAAGGCTAAACTGACAGATGGACAGTGAACGAATGAGTGAACAACACAATTGTTCAAGCATTTGGTTCCTCCCTGCACCTCCCAGCATGATATCTTACCATTGGCTAGAGCTCATATTCATCACCATGCTCACATATCATTGGTTGGGGCTGGGCCTTCATTTAGTATGCTATAGTTTCATTTATTTGAAGTAATAATTCATATGTTGTGAAATGAAATGATTGCCCCATTCAAGTTAAGTAAGACATTGTTTGCCGCACACTAATCCTTTTCAAAAAATAAATCAATATAAAAAAATAGCGAACTGTATGTGAATTGATTGTTGTAGAAAGTGTTTTGTGCTTGTAGAAGTAGTGCAGTTCTGTGCAAGCATGTGTGCCAGACCTATGTGAAGCTTTTATGATAGAGGAGGGATACATGCTTACTCTGCTTTTCACACCTGAGTTAGTAGGCTATGTAGTGAGTGAAGCTTTTTACTAATTTGTGTTTTAATAAATATTCTCGTACTACTACTCTCTAAATGGCATACTGTTCAAGCAAATAACATTTAACATATTTTCTGGTTGAAAAGAAAATTCATCATTTGACTGTACTTTTAAATCTGACATTTTCCATACATCAGATAAATGTAGAACAATATGGGATCATTGCATACTGAACCATAGTACAAGCCCTTAAATAGAGTAGGCTGAAATATGCTAACAATAGCTAACTTAAGTCATAGTAGCTATACCAGATAATAAAAGAAGCTTTGGAATATTAAGCATAAATAAGAATAAAGCAAGGATTTGTTGAAAATGTTTATGAAATGAATGCTTCTTTTCTCATGGAATATTATGCTATGTCTTCATTTAACACTGACATACTCTTGCATAAAAAAACACTACTTTGTCTTTGTTTTATTCATAGAATATGTACAAGTTTAAAGTATATTCTTGCTGTAATCGGCTAGGAGATTTATGTTCTTCCTTCTTCCTGTCTGTCTGTGTTTGTGTTTACACTTGATCACATTTTATTCTTGTATTATTTTTCTCGCTGGTAGAGAAGCTGTGTGAGTAACCACAGGCAGAGGTAGTCAGACAGCAGACAGACATTCTGTTTATCCTCTTCCTCCTCTCATCTCAGAGCCAACCCTCAGGAACACAGTGCCCACCTGGAATTGTCTGGCCTAGCTGCCTGGCCTACCCTGAGGCTGTGCTGTTTGTCTATGTTTGTGTTAGAAAGAGAAGAAGAAAGAGACATGGAGAGTGTGTGCAGGAAAAACAGTGTGCACCACGTACTATACTCATCCATATTAACAGGTTTCCCCCTCTGCTATTTTCTATTTCTGGCAATTTCAGGCAGACTTCTGCTTTTCTTTGTCCTCATATGCTCGCTTGAAACAGAAAAGGAGCCTTTTCACAAAAAACCTGTTGTGGCTATCTTTAACTTGTCTTATTTTGATTATCTGTCTTTTGAATGTAAATAGAAAATGAGAATATGACTGTAAAGATTTGCCTTTTTATTTCTGTCAAAACTAAAATTTTGTCTTCATTAATTCAAACGACTTGGAGAATAAATAGTAAATCACTGAAAGTGTAAATAGATGCATAAGAGCTCTGAACTAGAGTATGTGATTTAGACCGAAATGCTTTCTTGCAAATGAGCAAGAAAACGAACAGTACCCCCTGAAGTGGTTGCATTTTAAATTCAGCTGGCAGAGATTAAATTCTGGCTTGGTGGGATAAAAGAGCTTATTTAGCTCAACAGTTCCCAGACTTAACTAATCTACCAGTTTTAGTCTGTATTTGAACCTACAAATGTTTCTAATTCTGCCTTGAAACACCATGCCAGAGTGTGGGTGAGTAGAGACAGAAACACACAGGAGCCAGGAAAATCAAAAGAAATGACTGCATCCCTGCCTGTTTCTGAAGCAGATATATATTTACTCAACATTCCTCAGACAAACAGTCACCGTACTTGACTATTGTTCAAAGGCACAATTATTCTCTCAGATAGAAGTGTGTGCTTTCCCACAAGCCACACTTGCACATCCATTCATTCAAAACTTACACCCATGTGCACCCTCGTATAGATTACTTTGGGAATAAAGTTAAAAACGTAATGTTAAATACACCGTTTTCTTAAAGGCTTTATATGCGATTTTTCACACTTAAATATAATAGAAATCAAGTATATCCTCTGAAAATAACTCTGAGTAATGACTGTCTACAATGGGTGTAACACCCGAGTCCCACTGTCTGTGATGCTTTCCGAGTTTTCCGAGTCATATTTTAGTTTGTTTACATCGCCGGGACGGCAGGCTGACTCCTCCCCTCGCGAATTAAAGTTGTTTAATTGAGGGACTAGAGAAAAGAAGAATAACTTACTGTACTCACTGCTTAACTGTGTTTCTAGATCACGCTCATTTCAGGTAAATTTACATGCAGTGTGAAGATACGAGCATAATAAAGATCGCTAGCATTAGCATGCTAACACAACAATGCACCGCGAGTTGTTTTGGTTTCATGCTGGTGCTCAAGGGCGACATCTGCTGGATCAAAAAATCACATAAAGCCTTTAAGTGTACCTTTCAGTAAGCAGATGATGGAACTCTTCCTTCTTTTGGTTGTCTGTAGGTTGGGAAGAGTAAATAATTTTTTATGTCCAGTAATAAACAGTCATTCAGATAATCGATTTGTCACTTGTCTGATTCCTGTTTCCTCATCTAGTCATGTACTATGTGATAACATGCCTACATTATGTTCAACAGATATTACAAAGGTGATTCTTCTTCTCTCTTCTAGGTGGAACACTCCTTTAACTATCTGGAGATGCAGGGGGTTTCTTGTAACAAGCCTACACAGGTAACAATAATCTCATCAATTCTAACAAGGTCCATTGTAACCTTAAAGCAGTAGCATTTTGAAAATACACTTACTTGTGTTGTTGATGATAGCATAATGGAAAAATATTCTCAAAAATGTATTCTCAATTATTTCTTTAAATATGGAGGTTGAATCAGGAGGGTACAAGCTCAGCGTAGCGTCTATGGATGGCTTAGAAGAATAAAAGCAGAGTTATACGCTAGCGTCATAGGACCTTCATGAACAGCACAGTCTGCCTCAAACCACAAATCATCATATTTACATTTCTCTTAGTTTACTAATTAAACTAAAATGATGTTGATTTGCAAATCTTAAACCGCAGGTATGTTGTCTGCCTAGAAACTTGGTCTTTATAGAGCTAACTGCTAGTTTACTCTAGCTTCAAACGTTATGCACATTCATAAGAAGGGTATCGATTTATCGCAAGTGAGCAGGTATTTTTATTTCAACTATGAAGCTATGTGTTCAACGTTAACATTACCTGTTAAAGCAGCTTTGTTGTTTCTCATTAAACTTGCACATAGTGTACATTTGTTCTTATTTTCAGAACAATGGCAGAATACAACTTGCATTTTATTATTCTTGAACATTTTATTTAGTGTCAGTTCATTTCTGGTATTTATGAACAGCAAACTTTACTTCTTCACTAACTTTACACTGACAGAGAAGCTATAGAGAAAAAGTTTACAAAAAAGCTTATAAGAAATATAGTGATTGTAAATAAAACAGAAGATTAGCAGAGAAGCATAACATTGATACTATTAGATATTACAATAAAATGGTCCTAACAATGTTAAAAATACAACATGAGGCATCACAAATAAAAGAGCAGGGCCTTGATGATCCCCATCTGTTTAGAGCCTCCATTTGACCAGAGCTGGTTTGCAGTCAGTCAACAGGATCTACCTACAGAATATGATAATCCTTCTCTTACCACACTGTTAGTGCAGCTGAACCTCTTCCCCCCCCACATTCCTCTCTAGAGATATCAGTCGTCTTAATATCCTCACTGATGGTCTCCCATGTCTAGTGAGCGTCAGATGGATTATGTTAATTCTGGACTTTGGAGGATCGCCTTACGTCAGTATTTGCATAATTGTAGTGAAGTCTTAAATGGGTAGCCACTTTTGGTGGATGTCATTAAATCTTAACGTACACTTAACATTCGGATGTGGGATATAGATGTGGCTGGGTAGTCAGATGGAAGGCTCAGTGTATGGAGTAGAGTAATTAAAGACATATGTCTAGCTCATATTAATCTCCATAAGTATGAATGTGGTTGACTCAGGTTTGTGTGAAACCATACATGCTGATGTGAATCACTAATTCCTCTTTTGTCCTTTTAGCTGTTGTTAGAGTACGAGCGGGGCTCTTTCTCCCTAAAGCTGCTCTCTACAGAGGAGGTGAATGAGGTGGTCGCCCATATAGGAAACTGTCTGCTGAGGATATGTCCCGGTCTACCACCAAGGTAAGTTCCACCTCTATCTCTCTATTTTAACCTGCAGAGGGTGCGATCTGAAAGTGAATATTTTGGGGATTAGAATGCATCTTATTTCAAAGCAGGAGTGTTGCCGACAGGTGAGCAGAAAAGGGTCAAGACAGACAGTGTGCAGATGTCGCAAGAGACCGTTAAACGACACAAATAGTTCAACCAACACAAAGCAGAACAGAAATACATGTTGTAAAGAGGTTGTTTCTTTCATCTGTCGATTTACATCCAATACTGTATGCATTAAGTTCACTGAATATCCCTCCAAAAGATAAACTCTTCACTTAAAAATATTCTAACATTCAGAGTTTAATTTGTCACAACAAACAGACATCCATTGTTCTTTATCTCTGTCAGTCACTTCTGCTGACATACAGTTAACTGTGTCTTTGTGAAAAGAATACTTGCATGTGAAGCAACGGAGAAGTCAATGTCATTTGATTTTTTTTTGAGAACAGGATGTATGATTATGAATGCAGAAATACCTTCAAATACGAAACTCAATGACAAGCCTTAGTTGCACTGTTTTTGTTTCTATTTTAGACATTGCTTTCAGGAGTTAGTTACATTCAGCTGCTTCAAAACTTTCTGCTTGGAAAATGTCCATAGATGTGTATGGAAGTGAGAAAGTAGCATGCAGTTACATCCTTTAAGGATTTTGACAATTCACAAACTGTGATTCCTTCTCAGTAAAGTGATGAAGAAGCTTTGCATGGAGCCTCCAGACAGGCTGACCTCTCTGCAGACTCTGTGGGAGAACAACAAGACGGCTGAACCTGGGCCCTGTGGTACGAATCAGTTACTCATCAATAATTACTGTGCTTCTTTTTACCATTGATTCAATTGACTGTAGTTCCAAAGCTTTCTGCAATTAATATTTTTGTATCGCATGTCTCTCTCTTCCTGACTAGGTGGGTTTTCACAGCTGTACAGATGTGTTTGTGACTGGTTGGGGCTGCCTTACAGAGAAGAAGTGCAGTGGGTCAGTGTCATTCTTATTCTTTCATTTACAATTGGCATATCCTGCTTTATAAATTACTTGAGTGCTGATTGCTGTGAGATAAAAATCTGCTTTAAGCCTTTTGAGAAAGATGATTACCACATGTGGACATTGAAACTGAAGAAATTTCCTCATACCTTTATTTTCTCAGATTCTTTTTCATTATCTTGCTCTGTCTTACAAAGTCAGGGACTCTTTCGCCACTGTTTATGTTTCATCTTCTCTGTGCTAATACTTGTTTCTATATGAGTCATCCAGAACTGGGAGATGTTTTCTTTGTAATTGACAGTTTGTTGCAACTTTCTTTAATGAATTGTCTCTTCTTCAGGATGTGGATACTATCTATTTAACACAAGACAGCAGAGAGCTCAACCTACAGGACTTCAGCCATTTGGAAAACAGGTGAGAAGTTGCAAACAGACGAGCTCATGTGGCTGAAAACGTTTAATAGGATAGGACAAACACAAAACTAAAAGTGAAGAGTGTTTTTATAGGGGTGATGTGGAGGAAAATGCTGAAATCCACGCTGACTTTAGGTAGCTCTGCTAAAGACAAATGTGTAGTTGAAGCTATGACCTTTTCCTCCCTGCCTGCTCCTCCTTAGGGATCTGGTGGCTATAATAGCAGTCCTGGAGTTTAATCAGTGGTTCACCAAGCTCTCCACCAAGGACTACAAACTAGTAAGTATCCTTTTTTTTCCCATCAAGATCTCCTCTCAACTGACACACAGTTATTGTATTGTTTGAGGTAGCAATTAAGGATTCTGAACTTTGTCAAGTTGTTGTGCATTCTGCGCTCAAGGTGGTTAAAGTACCTTTATTATTGACTTGAGCTATGCATTTTCTGTATCTCTGTATATTTCTGGTGTTGTATTTTGTCTGATACCTGTTACAGATCTAATTTCTTTCAGGATAATAATGTTGAAGTCCATGTTTGTGGTTTTGTTAGAAAATTGACCATGTCATCATTTACCAGTACCATATACTGCTATACTCAAAATTAATCTAGTGTCCCTCAACAGTCTTGCAACAAATCCACCCATCCTGAAGGGTAGGAAGTTTAATGAAGGCTTTAGTGGCTCTTACTTTTAGCTGGAGCTGGTTGAGAGAGGTTGATAAAGTTTACAGTTGTTTTTGAAGGCAGTATTTTGAGCTGTATTATAATGTGCTGTAAGAGAGCTGTGTCTATGACTTGGTCCTCCCCATTGAACTATTAATAAGAGTGTACAGTATGTTTCTCTCTTGGTCACTTCCTCTGACTTTTGTCAAAGTCCTGTTTCTGCTCACTTCCTGACTGCACGACAGCAGTGCCACTACTACTTCACTGGTGCTGTGGTTTCTGCTTTGTCTGTTAGAATATTCGCCTGCAGAAAAAAGGTTGAGTGAAAGCTTGGACTAGGCTTTCTCTCCGTCCATCAATGTGCCAAATCCCAAATCCCAAGTGGCTGCTCGGCTATCACGGGCACCAGCTGATTTGGCAAAAAAAAAAAAAAAAAAACAAGCAGAGTCACTGTGACGGCTGAGTTAGAAGACAAAGTGCTCTGTGAGGCTGTCACTACATAACACTGCTCTGAGTTGAATAATAATGTCTGCATGCTAGTATACTTACAATGGAAATGGTATGCTAACATACTGATGTTTACTTTTTTTTTTTTTTGCTTAAGGCTCACGATGTTCATCCATTTAGTCTGGCATATCGGTTGTTTTGATAGTCAGGTTACAGGAAACAAGGATGTGTAAACACCTCCAGTTTTTGTGTCTTGATATGAAATTATTCGGAAAACTGCAATTTATTTTTAGGAGGCTGACAATTTTTTTTTTTTTATCCCTTTTCCCGGTTATTCTTTGTCTCTTTCTATTTCATAAACAGTGTTCATAGCATCTAACATAAACCCACTCTGTCAGTGATTTAACAGTACATCAACTCTCACCCCTAGCTTTGCCTAACTGCCCGTATAGCTGTTTGTATCTCCTATGTACAGAATTTTCCCTCTTTGTTTCTTCCCTCTCCTCCTCCTGTGTGTCGACGGAGGATCAGTCCAGTGTTCTCGTGTGATAAGACACTTAATCCTAACCAGACAAAGGGGCTCAATGTCTCAGGCTGTTGCCCCCTGCAGCACTCCACCAATAACTCTCCTTCTCAAGGCCTCGCTCAGTCTCACCAATTACCACACACAACTTCCTCAGTCTCAACAATTATCTCACGCCTCCGTCACAGACAATTCCTTTTGAATTGAATTTTCAAAACCTGTCAGTCACCATGCCGTGTGCATATTCAGGCTGAAATACTCACAAAGACGCATGTGCACCTTGTTTCTAACGTGTGTCCTTTCTATGTAAGATTAGAATATTTTATAATAGGCCCTAAGGCTTTTGTGTGAGAGGTTTCAGCATTTATTTTGTTATTGTTGTGCTGGAGGGAAGATTTTACATGCTTTTTTGATAACAGTGTAATAGAACGGAAACTCCAGTGGGTATTTTTAAGGAAGTTTAAGTCATAAACTTGTTTTTTCCTTTTCTCTCTCTGTGCTGGCATGTTTATCAATGATAATGAATCAACTGGAAACGCAAATGTTGCAAGAATATGCTCTGGAGCGTGATAGCTGAATCGTTTTGATCACATGCCAGTGGAAACAAAACACAAGTTAGAATAAGAGGGAAACAGAGGGTGAAAGAGAGAACGCGATCGCAGCAAGCAGAGCAATGAGACAGAAACATAAAGGTCTGTGGAGGGGTCAGTGGACACAACGAAAGGGAAAGATGCTAGATGAGTTAGGAAATGAGTCCCAAACTATCAGGAAACAGGGATCGGAATTTAAGCTAAGTTAGAGGAACTAAACATTTCCAGGATGATGTTTTTGCCAAATCTTTTCATGCAGAAGTTCAACTTGAGGGCAAAAGCTGCCCGTCGGCATGCACTATTGTGTCTGTATGGCTTTGTACTGTAACATTACAGATGTGTCCTGATCATGAAGCAGAAAGTGAGCGGGGAACATTAAATGCTATCGCCTCAGGCTCAATCAAATCGATAAGGAATCTCTCAGTGCAGTGGACTGGTGAATATGACACACAAATACTCAAACACACACACACCAAGGGCTGCTATCACAGTGAAGGATTATACTGCTCAGTTCAATCAGTCTGTTTGTTTTGTGGTCTAATGGTGATACTGACCTGAAAACGAGAGCGAAGTAGAGGGCAGCCGTGATAAGAGGAATGGCCCGTTGTTTCTCTCATGATCACACTGTGTGTGTGTGTGTGTGTGTGTGTGTGTGTGTGTGTGTGTGTGTGTGTGTGTGTGTGTGTGTGTGTGTGTGTGTGTGTGTGTGTGTGTGTGTGTGTGTGTGTGTGTGTGTGTGTGTGTGTGTGTGTGTGTGTGTGTGTGTGTGTGTGTGTGTGTGTGTGTGTGTGTGTGTGTGTGTGTGTGTGTGTGATATTTCAGCATGACAAGGCTCTTATTTAATGAGTTGTAAATGGTGCAGTGCACATGCTGACAGTGTCACTGCTGTCACCAACAGCTTTATTATTGTGACTCTGGTGGAAAATACAGCCTTCTTTGTGTGCTCTCTCTCTCTTTCTCTCTTTCTCTCTCTCTCTCTCTCTCTCTCTCTCTCCCCCCCACTGCAACTCTGCTTTCCCCTCTTTATCTATATACTCCCTCACTACCCTCATGTCTCCTTTTTCTGTGTTATGTGTCATCTCTCACTGCCCTCCATCTTTCTTGTTCTCCTTCTGTAATACTCGCAGTTACACAGAGTACACATGTGAACAACAGCTTCTTTCTTCCCTCTCTCCTTGTACGCGTGTCTTTGTGTCTGTGTCTCTCTTCCACATCATCCCTCTCTCCCCCTCTCTGTAGATAAAAGTGTGGCACAATGTCACCACTGTTTTGTCCTCACTGAGGCTGCTGGCTGACAGAAACGGGAATGTCAATTACCAAGAATAACAAGAAAACAATAGTCCAGTAATGTTTTGTGATTAAGATGAAAAATGTTTGTGTTATGAACCAGTGCAGCTAATTCTGTATACAATAAGAATTACTGTGGAGTCTGACACAGTGAACTGGGTCAGTGAACATCTAGGTAAGGCATGGACGTCAAACTGCTACATTTTTAATTTCCTCTAAATATGAGTGCTTTCTCTCCGTGTGAATATGTCTCCTGTGGCGCTCAAGACCACAGAAGCGAGACAACCCTCTCCCTATAAAGTATCTCAACAAGTCTGCCGTCCCCGATCTCTCTTTGTTACGCATAAATGGTCTTCAAGAGGAAAAGACAGAATTCCAACATGCTGAGTTTTCTTTTTACGTTCAGCCGTGCAGCTTTAATCAGCATAAATGAACAGCTTTCCGGAGTGATTTCAGTGCAGAACACTTGCGGGAATCAAGCGTCCCAAAAGTAAATTTCTGTTATTTCTGTGACCTTGAATGTTTCACTTCAAGCTTCGCTGTGCTAGATAAAAGTGGATTTGAAGCCTTGAAGCTGGTTCAGTTAATTAGTATATTTTTGAATCCTTGATTAACAGATCAGTTGGCTCAGCTTTAAAGCAACAATATGTAAATGTTCCACCTTAAAATAGAAGTTTCGAAGTTTGAATTAATAGTACAATACCTTTTTAACTGGGAGAATGGCGTCTGTCCCATGTCCTCACCTGTTTGCTGCAGCATGTATCTTTGGCAGCGGGTCAGGGTCATCTCGTCAGAGGGGCATACGGCTTTAAGGCACTAATTCACACACAGAAAGTTATGAAAAGGAGCCAGTTAGCACATCTGTCCATGGTTTGATACAAGGGCAGAGGCTAAGAGGAAGAGGACAGATGTAGCTAAGAAGAGAAAAGGAGAATTGTGTACAGCCCTGCGGATGTTATTCATAACAGATTTTGACTTAACGTTATACTGTATTGTTATAGGTGTCATCGTTGTCTCAAGTTTAGCTGCTTTACCGGGTGCAGAAAGTCATCTAACCCAAGTTATGTCTCTAAATAAATGAATCCATCTTATGCCAAAGGGTTGTCTATTTCCTTGTCAATCAGTCAGTTTGCAAACAACTGGCTGAAGACGCTTGTAGATTCATATTTGCACAAAATGTGGTAATATAACTGAATGTCTGTCAACATGGCTGTTTAGCTTCTCGCTTCATCTTTACCGGCTTCGCACCATCTGCTTGAAAATAAATGAAAGTTGTCTAAGAAGGATACGTGTAACAGCGCTGTGTCTAAAGACAGCGTCTAAGTGCACCAAACCAAATTTCTACATATTGTTGCTTTAAGCAGAAAGTGTGAGACCTATAATATGACACATTATATCTCTTATATCTCTATTATATCTCTCTTTTTTTCTGATATGTGTGTTGTGTTCATGTGTTTTATGTGTTTCTTTAGTCTGCAGATGTGTGTGAGCAGATCCTTCGGGTAGTGTCTCGATCCAGTCGACTTGAAGAGTTGGTTCTGGACAACGCAGGACTCAAAACGTGAGAAAAACAGTTATCTGTAAGAGAGGCATTCCACGCATTTTTGATTAAATGACAATCAAGGCAAGATAAGACTGCTGTATAAGCCTTCGGCGAAAAAAAAGTCCTTATCACTGTTAACAAGAAAACCAGAGTTCTGTCTTAGAAATCAATTGTAAAGTTGGAAAGCCAATTCTGCAGATTCGCAAAGGGGTGATGGTGTCGGCTGGGTTTCTCCTTTTGTCAGCTTTGTGGAGGAATTATTCTTCATAAACATGTGTCCTGTTTTGTTGTTTGAGGACTCACATGCAGGCAGTTTGAGGTAGTCTTCCATTTGTAACCACATTTAATGGCTTTCTTTAAAATATCTGAAAGAAATTCAGTCATTTTCCTTTAAATTTAAGTGTCCATGTGAAATAAGGCAAAACACCAATAACACGATAAATATGCAGCTAATGGAATCATGTATGTGTTCATTTCTTTTTTTGCACTAGTCTATATCTACCTATAGATGTCAAAATGATAATAGGTTTATTGCCGTTGCTTTTTGATCAATTGAAAAAGTAGATTTTTGTTGTATCCACATAATGAATGCACTCTTTTACACTCTGCAGTGATTTTGCCCAGAAGCTAGCAGCTGCCCTGGCCCATAACCCCAGCTCAGGACTCACCACCATTAATCTTGCCAACAACCCGCTGGAGGACAGAGGTATGATACCTGCTAATCCAGTCTAGTCTGTAAAGATCTCTGACCTTTGATGCTCTCTACTGTACAATGTTCTGTGTCAGGCGTGAGCGGTAACTCTTCTACCAAAGTTCAATAGTAATCACATTATACTAAAAATCTTCATTAAGAGGTCAGGTCTTGTTGTTAACTCTAAAATCTGCTAAGTATGCATTGTGTACTATAAATACAAGAGCATGTTACAGGTACAGAGACAAAAGTGTTGACAATTTAGTATCAACTGTCACAGCGCAGTGAGGGCAATACATTTAATATCTCATCCCTTCTTTCCTGAGGCCTTTCAGTGTATCCAGGACACATGCATTAAAGATACATTCAAACAAATATTCAGGAAATCACATGTAAACATACGGCAGGTTACTGGGGCTCAATCGTCTCTGATGTTATTTATTCCCATGTTAAAGATATTTTTCAATTCTAAGTTGTTTGTAGTTCTGCCTTAATGCACATTTCCAATTCATTGTATTCCACATTTTTGTTACTTTTGCATTTATTTATTTAAGCACCGTTTGTCATTTGCCATGAAGGGTTTCAGAAACTCATTTTTTTCAAGAGAGTTAGATCATAACACTGTCAAACAGTTTAAAAATAATTATGAAGTTTGGAATAAAAGCTTAAAGTAATTTTTTTACTGAAATATAACGGTCTTTGCCTGCACAGTGGATAAAAAAAAAGCTTTGAAAGAAGACGAATGACGAGGAGGAAAATCATTGTTCATATCTGTTTCCTCCCTCTTGCTGCAGGTGTCTCCTCCCTGGGTGCCCAGTTTGCCAAACTTCGTATTGGGCTCAAGCATTTAAACTTCTCCAAAACCTCACTATCACCCAAAGGTTTGTGGCTTCTCTCGTCTTTTGTATACAGGTACAAAAAAGCAGGTGGATAGAAAATGAAGTTACTTACAATTAGTGTCAGAAAAATAATTAAAGATTAGATAGAATTAAAGTTAAAAAATGAAAAAATAATAATAATACAGTGTGTGTGTATATATATATATATATATATATATATATATATATATATATATTGTGTCATGATCAGCGAGCTTGCTTTCCTTATGCGTTTCTGTTTACATGCCCCTCTGTGCTCACATCTTCCACTAATTGGATCACAGCTACTACTGGGATGCTAATGACACCTAATTAGTTCACTATTAAAATTGTTGGTGCAGGTGTGAGTTTGCAATATCAATCTCCAAAAAGTATTTTAAATATTTTTCATTTACATTTTAATTTGTAGTAATGCTTTATTGGAGTAGAGTTATTACTTCTTGGCATAACTGAAGACCCCTGTGAAGTAATAATGGAATGCTATGAAGTAGATGTGTGAAAAGGATTTTCTACAGGGGATATTTCATTGTTTCTGTCATAATTTACATGTTAAAATTGACTGCTTTCCCCAACTACTTTCAGGTAACATTTTGTCAATGCTCTCATGCTATCAATAAAGAGCATTTCTTTTTCAGACCAACTAAGAGGGCAGTGCAGCTTAAACTGAGCCCTGCTCGTCTAGATTAAGGCCCAATCTATAAGCCCCCAAAGCCCCTAATGCTCAGAGCAAAGGTCAAGGAGTTGTTGTTGTTGTTTTTTTTGCACTTTAGTATGTCATTTGAATATGTTGAAGGTTTGCATCTATTAAACGATCTTGATTATTCTAATATGTTTTTCTCTGTATAATCTGTATTGTTTGTATAATGCTGCCTTTTCCACGCTCGTTTTGATCTCTTCTCATCTCTCTGGCTCTGTCAGTCACTTCACATTCACGACCTTGACTTTGTGGCGGTGGTAGTGGCACAGAGCCAGGACTTAATAAAAGTATTTAGATGTGACAGCTATGTGATTGATGTGACATGGGTCAGTGGTCACAAGCAGTGTGTCAATATGAAGCAAACACTGCCATAGAAATTCATGTGTACAAAGACATGCATGTTTCAGATCTCTGAAATAAATCCTTATTTATCATTTGTGTCATTGCTGCTCTTCAGGATGCCGTTAAGATATTGGTCTGATATTTATTAAAAACAGGTAATACATTTATTCTGAATACTTCATTATGATAAATGGCAATGCCTCATCCTGAACATAGCGTGACACTGACAACCGTGAGAAGGACTGCTCTTTTCACTTTCCATGTATTCTCTCTGAATTCTGCTCCTGCTCTTTCATTTCCTCTGCTATTTCCTTTAGTATCCTGTCAAAACATCAAGTGGAGATTTGAGTGTTGATGCTGACTCAGCATATATATATATATGTGTATGTGTGTGTGTGTGTGTGTCTGTATCTGTGTTTTGTGTGTATGCGTGTGTGTTTTAGGGGTGAACAGCCTTTGTCAGTCACTGAGTGCCAACCCGTCCATCCCCAGCAGAATGGTCCATCTGGACCTCTCAGGGAATGTCCTCCGAGGAGATGACATGCAGGTACACACACACATGCGCACACACACACACACACACACACACACACACACACACACACACACACACACACACACACAGAGCTTCTAATCCATCTCAGAGTAGATATCAATAACATCTAATTGATTGAACCAGTTTAGTGCTGCAGTTGTGTGGATGTCTGGTCAGGTTGTTATAAATCAGTTAGCATGTTGCTCTGTAGGAGAGCATTGACTTGCGTAATTCGACATCTTTTCGGACACAGATATAAATTCTCTATTGCAGGGTCACAAATCAGGATCCAGTACAAGCAGAATTTAAGAGAGTCTTTGCCAGAGGAGCTGACATGTCACAAAGCAAGATTTCTTTTCAAGGAATACCCTTTTTTTTAAACTGGTTTTTCCTGCTCTTGCCAGGAGTACGATGAGATGTTTTTCTTCCACTCTAATTTCTGTTTAGTAGAAATTAAACTAGCAGCAGCAGACACAAAAAAAAGGGTGGGAACAGCTAGTCTTTAAAATTCACTGATTTAAAGGAATCGGCGCTTGATGTATGGCGACCCCAAGGTCAAAGCAACACTCAGAGCCAAGAAGATAGATAGATAGATACTTTATTGATCCCGAGGGAAATTCAAAAAGTTATTTGGCCATGAACATGAATCACAATAAATTATAATATGATATAAACTGTATAGATGAGATGTTGGATAAGTTATAGGAGGTTTGACATGGGAAGTCAGAAATGATGGAACGTTATGAAGCGGTTGTGGACTAAAAAGAGAAAACATAAAAGAGAAGACGGCGTCATACAGGTTGCAGAAGACAAGAGTAACTCATCACAATTTGTTTCACTGTTTATGTTTTTTCGTCACATTCAGCATTTCTACAACTTCCTGGGTCAACCCAACAGCCTGGCCATCCTTGACCTCTCCAACACTGACTGCTCATTGGACCAGGTGAGTCCTGTCCCACACTGATACTGTGTGACAGTCTGCCTGGTGCTCATAGTACAAAACTCCTACTAACAACATCATTTGGTAAAGAGATTAATGATCATGGGTAACACAATTTAAGCAAAACAGGCCCCTACATGTTCAGAGAATAACTCACTGCAAACCCAACAACATGCATTAGAGTTATAGCTTATCCTAAACTTCATTGTAAGATGAAGTGTCAGACATTAATACATGTGTTGCGGCAAATATAATTCAATTTAACACACCCACTCAATCTGCGTTGCTGTGGTCTGCCCGTGAAGTGTTCTGAATACTGTATGTGATGTATTGATGTGGGTCAGAGAGCCAAATACCACTTATTGATTAGTCTGAGATGTAGCCAGCTGTCTGGCTGTCACTGAAATGATTGATTAATTCCTCAATCATATTTTGGCTTTCTAGTATAGCAGAGCACACAAACACTGTAACACAGTGATGTACAGTGAGACACAATGCCTTCTCTGTTTTTAGAGGTTCGTAACGTTCACAGAAATATAATGTTTTGTGATCAAACTCAAAGATGTTTAAAGATTTTTCATGTAAAATAAAAAATAAAAAAAAATCACAACTGATGCAGTTATTGAAGCGCCATTGTTTGGATGTGTATTTCCCAGGTTTGCTCGGCTCTGCTGCGAGGTTCGGTCCAACACCTCTCTGTTCTCAACGTGTCAAAGAGTGTCTTCCCTCACAGGTAAGAACCCTTGTGGGCTTACTTTAAATTAAAATGAACAATTTTCAGAGTCATCAAGAAAGAGTGTATTTTATTTTGATTACTAACATGGCAGATTATCTCACAGAGGGAAATGTTCTACCTTTAACCCTGTACAGTTATATCAGAATCAGCCAGCTTCGTCATATAAGGGACTAAGAATGCTTTTTAAATGGATATTTGGAAAACTATAGTAATCTGTGACGAGGCTCAGAAGATTTCTTGTGCCTTTTTTTTTAAGCCCTCAAGTTGTCCGTGTTAATTCTCCTGTGTGAAATGTATACCTCCTGTACATTGTTATGCACCATGTGCTTGCTGGATCATGGGCGAGTCTCCTTTCCATGGAATTGCAATGCTGTCCACATCAAAAGTGTTTTTTTAGTGGATTAAGACAGACTTCACCTGATGGGACCTTTTTACATTTGGTTTTATATAGCCAGTCTCAATGTTGTTGTGTGACACCTGCTGGTGACAAAGGGACATTACAGACAGCGTGCAGGTGGAGGATCAGATTCAAAAGGGTTTGCATGTATGTTTGTTTGAGATGATAAATGTGTACGATTTTAGTGTGTGTGTGTGTGTGTGTGTGTGTGTGTGTGTGTGTGTGTGTGTGTGTGTGTGTGTGTGTGTGTGTGTGTGTGTGTGTGTGTGTGTGTGTGTGTGTGTGTGTGTGTGTGTGTGTGTGTGTGTGTGTGTGTGTGTGTGTGTGTGTGTGTGTGTGTGTGTGTGTGTGTGTGTGTGTGTGTGTGTGTGTGTGTGTGTGTGTGTGTGTGTGTGTGTGTGTGTGTGTGTGTGTGTGTGTGTGTGTGTGTGTGTGTGTGTGTGTGTGTGTGTGTGTGTGTGTGTGTGTGTGTGTAACAGATGGGTTGTGGGTGGAGTTTCTTCCCATTATTATCTCGCTTTCCAGTTTGTCTCTGGGGAGTTGAGGACAAAATCAGGGGAGGAGGGGAGCAGAGGACATGAGGGAGGGTCACATAGACAAGATGAGTGGGGGGTAAAGGTTTTGCCTGTGACTTTGAGTGATTTCCTTTGAGAAAGCCCATCATTTAGTTGTTGAGAAAAATCTGTTTATTGAGGAATAGATTCAAGTTGAGACAGGTTACAGTCTTTTAGGATGTAGAAAAAGTACCAATAGTTTCACATTTCAGTGAATTCAGGTTTGATTACGGAATTTTATTTTGAAAAAAGCTTTAAAGAGAAGTTGAAGATACGGTGAATGCTTTAAGTGGTTATTTTTCTGCTCTTTTTTTTGTTCTTTCTGTAGGAAAGGCAAAGAGGTGCCTCCATCATTTAAGCACTTCTTCAGCAGTGCCATGTCTCTCAGCTCCATCAATGTGTCAGGAACCAAGCTGCCACCAGAGGCCCTCAAGTGAGAGAATGGTTCATTCACATTTAATGTGTCTGAGGAGACGCTCCTTCTGCCCCACATTCTCTCTGACTGCACATTTTGTTGCTCAAACTCTGTTATGACCTTCCATTTCAACCCATCGACATTTAAAGCTTTTCGACATTCAGACACTGAGAATCATTTAGTTGCTGTTGCTATGAGAATCTGCTGAAGGAACGATATTCAACATTCAACACTTTTAGAAAAGCCTTGATTCACGAGTAATGGATCTGTAATTACATTAATCAGAAGAAAGGTTATTTGACAATATATTTCATTTTGTATAGTTACTTACATTTAACAATATCGTTTCAGAGCTCTCCTGCTTGGCCTGGCCAGTAACATCAACCTGAAAGATGTTTCTTTAGACCTCAGCTGCTGTGAGGTAAGACCGAGAATTCAACTTTCCCCTCATTAATCATTTCATTTGAAGTGAATCTCCATGCATACTTAATATCCAGATCAAAACACTTCAGTTTTGCACTGCAGTGATATCTGCCAGGGTGTGTTAAAAGCAAGCACACATCACAGACCTTTTTCACAATTTATAGTACATATTTTTTATATTTACTAATGTAATGTTAAAATCTTAAAGAGCCCATATCATGCCCTTTTTGGGGTTCGTATATTTAATCTATGTACCTACTTTTGTACGTTCACAATAGCTAAAGTCCAAAAAAAGTGTCTGTTTTCATGAACTGCTCCTCCTTGCTCCCTCTCCGCTCTGAGTCCGTCAGCTACACTCTGCTGAGCCCACACTGTTAGACCCCACGTGGGCCAAGTCTGCTCTGATTGGTCTGCCGATCAGCTCTGTCGTTATTGGTCAGTTGCTCAGCACGGTTCTCGGAAATTTCAACATGAGCTGCAGGGCTTGCCGCAACGAGCCAATGGGCTTAGATCAGTGACCTCACACTGACAATGACGCCGCACTGACAAATTTTTATCGAGGGGGGCTAGAACCGAGCGTTACATGTGGCTAATGCTACAGCTAACAGGAGGACGTAGGAGAAGCCGTGTTTCCGCAGACTTTTTGCACATAGATGTGCCTAAACATGCACAGGACACTTGGAAAACACACTAAAGGGCATATAAAACCAGAAAAAGCATAATATGGGACCTTTTAATGTAACAACGGCAAAGTTGAAAACCCCTTACCCCCAAACTGATACCTGGCTCCCACAGCTGTAGTTTAAACTAATGCATGGCACAGTATTGCAGATTATATAATGCAGGTGAATCCGCTGTGAAAGTAGGCTGCAGTTTACTCACAATGCTTCTAAATACCATGAATAAGTGAGGTCAACTGCAAGAAGTTGATTATTTGGAGGCATCTGTTTATTTTATTTTTTACTTTTTATCCTCCCTGTTTTTAGTATTTGTAGCACTTGTGAACTAGCACTTGTCAGTTCCAGTTTTTTTGAAGTGTTGTGTTTAATAGTTTTGAAGTGAAACTTGTCCAATCCAAAGGTTTCAAAGCCATTTGACAAGCCTCACTAGTGACACCATTAAGAGGCTGTCTAATGGAGTGCTTGGCAGGCAGCAGGTGGGGGTGGAGGGGGAGAGATGAACACGGGTGGGGGTGGATGGGGTTAGTTAGTTTCTGTCTCTGATTGTTTCATCACAATTTTCTCCCACACACATACATACACACATTTAGAAACAGAGACACACACACTAGCTCGTGCTTGCCTGCCTTCATTTCCACCCCTGCATGCACAGAAAAGGACAGCTTGCTGCAGATTGAATGGAAAACACATGAATACAAATTACACAGGAAATCCAATTCAGACTCCCATAGAAATCCTCCCAAACTGAAGCTGTGGCGGAAATGATGCGTTCTGTCCTCTTTTTGAAGTCCTAATGAACCATTTGGTGGAGGAAGCCCAAGGTCTGTGCTGTGAGTGGGTTGACAGCGCACAAAATAAGGATTCTTTTTAAGTGCATTTGTACAGATGTGTGTTCCTGAAGACAAGTATGATCATTACGCTTCGGTGCATTTTGTTGCTGGTAATTGTTGCCTCTGACATGCTGTTCTCTCACCCTAATGCCTCTGTAAGCTTGGCCATTGTGTAAGTACCAATGAGCTCACACTTAATAATTAACATTTCATGCCTCCTCATTCGGATTTGCACATCTGTTTTGGAAGATAGTTTTATTTTCTGCCATTCCTTGTCTTCAAGGCGTCCATTTTTCCATCAACATGGAATGAAAAAATCCAACTAGAAGCAACAATTAGCTGCAATTGTTTGTGTGTGATCTGCATTGTTACTTACTGAAGTTCCTCTTGCATGTTTGCATTAATAGTCGTCTGTGCTGTGCGTCTGTGTTCATTATGTCTAGAGAAGCTCCAGTCCATACCATGTTCCTTCTCATACCATTTGGTTTCTTTAACTGGTGCATCTGCAGAAATTGAGTTCAGATCTGTTTTCAAGTAATAAAAATATGCATACTATTCATTTATGTATGTATCATATCATAGTAAAACTGTATGGCAGCACTACTCAAACTGTAGACTTAAATACATCAGACATCCTCCTTTACCTGTTTGGATTTTTTAGTGCAAAATGATTGCAGAATTGCTGACATTTTGCTATCTGAGTGCACATGCTTTTTCTTCTATTACCACAAAGCGGGTTTCTCTGGTCAGATATAAATGATCCAAAAACAGTTCTTCTCTATGCTTAAAAAAGGAGTTGTGTCCGTTTGTAACAAAAACATAGTGGTTGGCAAGTTAGAATAGAATAGAATAGGAAGTTTATTTATAGAGCAAATTTCATGACAGGTAAGCTCAATGTGCTTTACATTGATGATAAAAAACATAGGGATACAAGAGACATATAGCAATATAAACAAACATGAATATGATTATAAGTTGCTGTGAAGTGTTGAAGGAAGATGTTGGAAAAAACAGTTGGCTAAAAAACTCAAGTTTTGGGATCAGAGCATAGACTGGCCTATTTGCAGGTACTAATCGCCTATTTTAGGAAGTATCCGAAGCATTTCAGGTATTAGTATCGCTTATTGGAACAATCTGAGTGCGTCACATGTAGAGGTGGGAACATTTTTTGTTTTATGTAAAAAAAAGATTCTTCTCTTCAAAGATTTTTAATCGATTAATAACTTCCAAAAAATCAATTTTTATTTTTTTTGGCTAATCAGTCAATCAGTGACCCGAAGAATCGAAATTGAATCGACTCATGTGGCACCCAAAGATTCCCCGCCCTACTCGTATTTACTGTAATGTATGTAGTAACATGTTTGAGAAATGTGCTCTTCTGTCTCTCAGTTGCGTTCAGGAGGTTCTCAGATCCTTGAAGGTTGTATTGCAGAGATCCCAAACATCTCCAGCCTAGACATCTCTGACAATGGTGAGATAGGAGTCGCCATGCTTCTTTTACCTTATATTTATTGCATGTTTTTAAACATTAATCCTAAACTCAAGCTTCATATCTCTTATCTGCATAAATCAACCTTAATCAGCTTTAGGATTTCTAATCCTTTTTCTTTAACTCCAGGCCTGGACTCAGATTTGGCCACACTGCTGGTGTGGCTGGCCAAGAACAGATCCATCCGACATCTTTCCCTGGGGAAGAACTTCAACAACATCAAGTCCAAGTAAGAACACAGAGGAGAAGCTGCACAGCTGATGTGTACAGATGTGGCTGAGAGAGAAACCCTATTGGTTAAGCCATGGGTTTGGCTTGATTGTGGCTTAGTGTGACTAAACTTATCCAACAAAGCACTGATTTGTCCAGAAAATGCAATGTGGCAGTAAATACTCTCTCACTATGTACTTAGTGGAATATAATGAAGTGATTACTATTAACAGAGATTTACAGAAAATGTATATATAATAAAGAATTGTGCAGAAAAAAAGACATGATTAGTTAATTTTTTTTGTGATAGTCATGACTATAATAATTTAAAAAAAGCCTAATATTTCTGATTTCCTTAATTCTTCCTTTCTCTCTCTTGCCTGACTTAGAAACCTCGCCCCAGTGTTGGACAGCCTGGTCCATATGATTCAGGAAGAAGAGTCGGTGAGTTTTTAATTCCCCTTCTCGGTCTGGCCTTTGCTAGAATGAACAAATCATTTCCACCAGCTGCTCTACAACTGATCTCTGACCTCTGGTGTGAATATAACTCCCTCCAGTGATCAATAAAGTATCCGATTTAACTGAAACCATGTGGTGTTTGAGAGACCTACTGAAACAGTCATGCAATTTTACTCACATAAACTGCTTGGTCAGGTGTATGAAGTTGTGTTTTTTGAATTTCCCTCGGGATAAATAAAGTATCTATCTAAAGTACCGTAATTGGTTATTACCGACTGTAAGACTCTCTGCTGATGATGATCAGCTGGATTTAAAATAAAAAAATATCCTGGACTTAATATCATACCCTCTAAATTCCCTCTGTCCTCTTTAAGGGCAATTGATTTTGTTAATTTTAGTATTTTTCCTTTTACATCGGGGTTAAAAAATATATACAAAATATCATTATTATTAAATCTAAAACATGTTCTATAATTTCTAACAATCTAACCATCCTTTCTCTCCCCCAATGCATCTCAATCATTTGCTCTCTCTGTCCATCATGGGAGCTGTAACAAATCTTGCCCAGATGCCTGTCCTCTTATTCCTCCCCTAGTGGCTGGTGTGCTAGATTAACGGTCCTAGGGAGCTGCTCTGTGCTGCTGGATTGGTCTCTGGGTGCTTGTAGTGTGTGTGTGTAAGATGGCCTCGATGAACTTGTTATCTAGACGAGCAGGTTGGGTACAAAGGGAGAAAGAAAGGAGAAAAGGGATGGATGGGACTGGAAATGGTGATGGGAAAATGTTAAAAGTGGGAGGGCTGATCAGCAGGGGGCTAGATGGTCAGGAATATGAATCATGCACAGGACAGCTCATCTCATAGAACAGCTTGTAGAGAAAAAAAAACTGTGTTGCAGATACTTGTTTGGACCAGGGAAGTAAAGTGTGTACTTGTATGTTGAAAGTGTTGCCAGAGTGTGTGTGTGTCTGAACCTGTCTCTCGGGTACCTCACAACCAGGGCATATGTGCAGACTCAGATAAGAGGGGTCTGTAGAGATAACAACCGTCAAATTGTTTTCAGTCTAACATGGTTACCTCTTTTGCCTGTGCGTAGCCTGCAAAGAGAGCTAGCACTCAAACACTCCCACAGTGTAAATACAGTTACACACATCAAGGCAGAACATTTGCGTTGTTGTGTTTCTGTGTCCTGGCCTCAGTCCAGGCTGGTAAACCTAGGATACCTTATGGCTGCTGGAGTATGGGGAAAGGAGCCACAGTTTGGACTTTAACCCAGGCCACCTGCTCGGAGAACTATGGCCTCCGTACAAGGGGCAGGACCTAACCGCAAGGCCATATGGGCTCCCCAAAATGTGATTAATAAAGCAGATGTTGATCATCTCTCCAATAAAAGGAAAAATTCTGCTGTCGCTTAATCTTGCAGAGAATCGAATGAGAAAAGTGATTTTACTCACACGTGTCTGCTGTAAAAAAAACAAAAAACAATGAAGCTTTGGACACCAGACAGAGTTCACAAGCATTAAGTTAAAGACGTAAAAGCTTAACAGAAGAAAAAAAGATATTACCAAGAACAGCTTTACATTCTCAATCTCTCCTGTGTTGCAATAATAATAAGTATTTGAGTGTATGAGAAAAGGTAATGAGTGAAAGCATCCTCTCCCCCTCTGCCAAGCAAATGAAGACTTTAGTGAAGAGATAGGATGTTATATTGCTGAGCATACACTGCAGGAGAAATGAGTTTCATCAGAATATTAGACACTGTTCATCATTTTATGGAAATACAGTTCATGGATTAATCTGTCTCTGTTATGAGGTCATTCTTATTTGCATGTCTTGGGGCACAAGTTCTCATTACCTTGGTTTTATTAATCATGATGTTTATGCATACCCAGAGCAATGATGTCATTATTGAAGTGATTAATAACGGCCGAGAATCTGAGCCGGTAAAAGTCATTTGCTACAGTGAGGGAGAAGATACAAATATTCAATCAGATATTATAGACTATCCTTTTTTTTTACAATTACTTTCTCAACCTGATGGTATTTTTTTTGCACTGGGTTTATATGCTACCACTACATTGTTAAGCAACAGGATTTCATTTTAAATCAAAGTTTTGCCCTAAAAACTAGTGTGGGAATACAATGATAGGGATCTTGTTACTGATTTATATCACAAATTAGCTACCGTGTCCTTGGTCCATAAACTTGTAAATTTGCATGTTTAATGTCTGCTCCGAGCCTTGCAGGAGCACAGGCAGGCAGTAAATAATTCTCTCTGCAGCTTTTTTTTATGTCTGCAGACCAGACATAAAAAAGTAATTTCCTGCCTTTATAACCATGTTGATGCTATTCTAGCACACACTCATGAACATATGTACATCAATGCATAAAGAAATCTCAGTTTAACCTTACCCCTAAAAGACAATAGCTTTGTTAGAGTGGAAAAATATTTTTTAATCACCTAAATCAGAAATCAATCTTTGCTGTATTGACCCTTCTTTGAATGGCATCGCACAAAAAGGCATGAAGGCTGACTTTAATATCAAGATTTCTTTGTCATTTGACACTTTAGGAAAGATGCTCCTTCTACTTTCCCTGTTCTGTTTTTTTGCATTAGCATACTTTTGCGTCTGTGTGCCCTGTTAGTGTGACATCCCTCATGTTATCCAATGTGGAGGAGAGCGCCTCCCACTCAGTATCATATTTAGATTTGTTCTGTGAAATTCTGCAAAGGAAATCTTTATTTCCAGTGAGCACATGTTCCAAACACAAGTGTGGGCTCAATTTTTCACACTGGATTTACTGCTTTCTTTAGATAGCTGCTAACCCTTCTAGGGACAAGTGTTGCAGATTAGGACCTGCTATAAACACTGTGATACTTGCATTGGATTGCTGTTTTCAGTTTGTCTATGTATATTATATATGTCCCTATCAAATAAACCATAAATAAATATTGTTTATTATTATTTTTACTCCACTGCATTTATCAAGCCCCTTTAGTTCCTAGTATTTGCTTTGCAGATAAGGAATTAAAAACCTGCAATAGGCACAAAACGGTGGCTGTTTTTTGAAACCACATACTGAAAATTAATTTGAATGCAGTATGTACTGCATACTGCATACTACATCTTGCGTACTGTGTTTAACAGTAGAATGTAGTATGACTACCAGTCTGTGGTTATTATTTGGCAGTATGGCCAGGCTAAGCTGGATTCTTATCTTGGAATGCTGAAGTAAACAACAGCCAAGCTGATGGCAAACTTGACTACAGTGTGGCATCCAGTGACTCATTTTGAAAAACAAAAAAATGAATACAAAAACTCAATTAAATTAGATTCTCACTCACAGCACTCGTATTCAAAGTCATTCAGCACTGTAAAATAAAGCAATGTTCCAGCATCCAAATTCAGGAGTTTTGAAAACTGATAATCTGAATTTGTTGGTTAGCTGACATTCAAAGAGTTACTTACAGCTGTAAACAGTTTTGTCAATTACTCTTGTCTCTAAAATAAGGACTGACACTCCCCTTAACTTTCTCCCAACGGAAGACAAGTAAAAGTCATAACAAGGCTTCCATAGGTGAACCTGCGGAAGGATCATTACCGGTAGATCCCTGCACCCGAGGCCGCGTGGCCCCTCGGTGTGGCAGCAGGTCGTCACTCTCCAGTGTATTCTGGCTGACTCTCCAGCTGTGTAAATGACATGCGTCATAGGGCAGCACAGCTGTGCTGAACAGACGGGCTCTGCAGGACATTTGTAAACCCTCATATCAGTCTCATATCACAAATAAATCCACTTGATCCAGTGCTGAATTTTTCATTTTGCCCTGTGGAGTCAGGAACGATGATACCTCTGACGTTTTGGTCTTTTGAAAGTCCTCTTGATCCTCAGATGAATGTTTAATTTAGCTTTGCCCTTTTGAGTCACACACACCTAGAGGAACATCTAGTTATATCACTTCTGTTGCTTATGTGAAAGGGGAGGTTGAAAAATACTTTAAACAAAATATTTTAGATAACATGCTTATGACATTAGTTCAAACTGTTGGCAGTAAATAAATATTTCCAGAATTGAAAGGAAAAAAAAGAAATATTAAAAAGGAAACGCTTAATCTTCAGAATTATTTGTAGTGTTTTCATACAGTAGTTGCTGTGATCCTGAGGAAGTACCAAACATCACAGAAAAAAAAACTGATCATAAAAACATAAATATAAGATAAGATGACACCAAGCATCTACTGGCAGTGAATTCAAAGTCACTTTGCCAGGAAACAAGTTGGTGCTGCCTAAGAGAATATTAATGCTCTTAACAACAAAAAGTACTATAGCTGTTGTTAAATTTGGCAGTGATATACACAACAATAGCCAAGACATTGATGAAGTGTTTGATATTGATGCCAAAGCTAAATAAATACAGAGAATTTGAAATGGGCTCATTTCTTTCTGCCTCTATTAATTAGCCAGCAGGGGGTAGATAAACCAAAGTCTGCCCTTGTTTCCTTTAACACTGCAACAACCAAACCAGATGTAACAGTCTGTCATTATTAGACATCATTTTACCTCTTGTTCTCATCATATAAACCCCCCTAAAAACATTCTCCTGTTCCCCCCTCTTCTCCCTCCACAGCCCCTCACCTCACTGTCCCTCGCAGACTCCAGATTAAAGAGTGACCTGACCATCGTTTTGAATGCTCTGGGCAGCAACGCCTCACTCACCAGGTTAGACATCAGCGGGAATGCCATGGGGGACATGGGAGCCAAGATGCTGGCCAAGGCGCTGCAGATCAACTCCAAACTCAGGTCAGCATATGTTCAGAGGTCAACGGCTGACCAAGCCCGAAAAATAATCCTTAAAGTATATTTTTACTATAATTTATTATCCCTATATTTACTTGAAAAGTAAGGTAGGTCAGAGGTGATTGTAGGCAATCTCTTAGCTTGTGCCACTTGTGTTTTTCTCTGTGCAGGACTGTGATCTGGGATAAAAACAACACAAGCCCTCAGGGTCTTCAGGATGTAGCAGCTGCTCTGGAGAAGTAAGTAGCTCAGTCAGCACCTTCAGTCAAACAGTATATGTTTCAATGCTGATGATACTGTAAGTGATAAAGTATACATACACTGCTAAAGGGATGCATGTGTGGTTAAGTGTGTTGCAGCACAGATGTTATTTGGATTAGTGCAGAACAGGAGGACCACCTCGAGGTGTGTTTATACAGGAAGAGAAGGAAAGAGGATGAGAGGAAGGAAAACAGGTTGTAACTAACACAGGGAATAAAACTACAAAGACACAATGGCGGAAGAAAAAGATGCTGAAGAAGAGAAAGGATGAGAGCACAACAGGCAGAAAGTGAGAGTTGAGACTGAATGAATGATGCTTTTTTTTTTCACTGTTTGTAGATTTGAATGTTCAGTATTCTGCAGGAGTATGAAGCTGCATGTACATTACACTTAGTTTTCTTCTGGGATTTATCTGCAAGTGCATCATCTCTCTCTCTTTATCATATCCTTCGAGCAGCCCATCTTTCCAATTCCCCTCTGAGTCTCGGTAATGGTTTATTGAAAGACGTTTTCTTTTCTTGCTACTCTGTACAGCAGTGCAGCTGTGTATGTTTGTGTGTGCTTCTGATGGCAGTCAATTTCCTCCTGTCTCTCGTGTTCTTCTTTATCAGGAAGTGTTTGGTAATACTCAATGGTAATGTTGCATTCTTCAGATATTTTCTCAGACTTTTAATATTCTGAGCAATGCCTGCAAGCGGAAAAAAAGTGAATTGATAAAGTGAACAAAGTGTCCCATAGTCAGCAAACTCAAACATGACAGCTAAGATTATTTCCGAACATTAAAAATATAGTGTAAATGTCTAGGACATATAGGACATATGTGATCACATGTAACATTTAAGTGTTAGAGTCCTACCACTCTCAACCATCTTCTCTCAACTGGAAGGTTGGGGGTTCAATCCCAGCTGCCGTTCTGACATCAGACCACGGTTGCACAGATCAGGCCACACAGAGAAATCCTGTTCATTGGTGTTGATAGAGGGAATAGCTTGTCTGAATTTGAAAGATGTCTTGGCTGTTTTCACATCAAATCTGAGCACTCGAGAGACGAGGGAGGAGAGCAGCCGAGTTCATACAGAAGTCAACTCTTTATTAGTCATGGCATCATGTTGGCTGCTGGTTCTTCATGTGTGCTTCTGTTTCATCGTGCTGCCAGGCACGTCTGAGTACAGATGAATCTCTTAACTTTTAGTTTTCAAAACCATCAACATCCAATTCAGCCTCCTTCCTTTTCTTTCCGTCAGTTCAATCTCTCTGCCTTTCATTGTACTTTTTCATTATTTATACATTTTTTCTCCTTATTCAGCTCCTTCTTTTCTTGATCATATAATGAATATTAATACGCTGTGATGATAGAAACCTCTGTAATGATGCCAGTTCATTGTATTAGAGTAATGTGAGATGCATCAGTTTCCTTTTTGTTTATTGAAATGTCTTCTATCCGTACGTCTGTAAACATGTCTCTGCCTCTTTACCTGCCACAGAAATGTAAACATGATAATAATGTCCCGGGCATGTGTGTCAATTAGGAACTTTACCATCCGTTTCATGCCCATCCCCATCATCGATGCCTCCCAGGCTCTGAAGGCTGGCCCAGAGAAGACAGAGGACGCCTTACTAAGGGTACATGAAATATTATTTTTTGGTTCATACAGCCTGCTTCAGTTTTGTTGTAGGTTCACAGGATTTTGACAGTGCATGTTACGTTCCATAATATAACAGAAAATCAAAAAGATGAGCTTTCTGTTTTAAAAAAGCTGTTTTCAAACATGAATCCCTGAACATTTCTTGGTAAAATTCAGGACAGCCTTCCCCTGAAATCTTTCTGAATTACTTTGTCACATACTATATGTCAGCGTGAAGACTTCTCGGACACAAGTGAATCTCATGGAGTAAAAAAACGCTGCAGAAATTTGAAATTGCCAATAAAGTCACAGAGTCTGACACTATAATAAAAGCTTTTTTTCTTAGTATCATTGCTAGGTGTAACTGAACGTATTCACTCTATTAACGGCAATGTAGAAAAGAACATACGGGCAAGCAGGAAAAAGGATAAAGCTGTGTTATTGCCTGTACAACAATTGCACCAGTGTCACATGATATAAATGTCATCATCATCACCCCTGCCCGGCCATTCACACATGGGCTCGTGCAGAAGTATTACCAGAGAGGAGGACAAATTCTCTGTAAAGTCAGAGTGAAAACCTCGGCCATTCGCCTCCACCGATGCAGCACACCCCAAAAACATTTGAGATGTTTTCAGCAAATTTGTGCATGTGTGAAAAACCCCCCAATAATAATCATATTCATTAATGATGTTAACATGAAGTGTTTTTTTCCCCCTGCAGATTGAGAATTATTTGTACAGGAACCATGAAACCAGAAAATACCTACAGGAGCAGGCGTATCGGCTGCAGCAGGGCATTGTAACAACAACCACACAACAAGTGTGTAAACTAACTAATACACACTCACACACCATGTGTAAAATTCTACCTGAACTAATTAAACATTCACAATATATTTTCAGCTTTATATTTCAAACACAAACTCTCATGTGTTATCTTTGTTTTCCAGATGATTGAAAGGATTTGTGTGAAGGTGCAGGACCACCTGAACTCTCTGAGGAACTCTGAGACAGATGCCATCTTGGAGGACGTCAGATCAGCAGAGAACCTCATCAAAGATGCCAGAAACTCTAAAACTGTGAGGAAATTCTAAATCCTAAATGGGCCTAAGAGGGGCATGTGAATGAGAAGGTTTAGTCTACAAACTCATTTAGAGAACAGATCTCTAGTAGTTTACTTACATCCTGTACTTGAGCCAATATCTTCCTCTATGTGTCCTCCAGCTGCTCCCTAACCTCTACCACCTGGGATCAGCAGCCAGAGAGGAGGTGAACAGCTCGTCAGTAGGACCCATCCAGGAGAAACTGGAGTCGATGGCGGGGGAGGTGACGACCGTCATGGACCAACAACTGCAGGTACGATAACACCGTTTATCCCAGAGATGAGAGAAAGATAGTTTAACTATTGATTTTGCACCCAAATATTTCTACCTAGAGATAATGGGTTACACTTGTTTTTATTGTTGGTCAAAGGGCTTTGAATCTAAAACAACTTAGGGGATATACCTTACCATTTACAAACCATGTCAACATGTCAGTCATTGTGATGCACAGGGTCACACAAAAATGTCACCTATATCCATCCCTTATTTTAACTGTTTCCAGGCCCTGTTGGAGTCCATGGTTGATGCTGCAGAGTCTTTGTGTCCTCACGTGATGATGAGGAGTAATCTACGTCCAGAGCTAATGAAGGCCAGCTCAGCCAAGATGGTTGTGCCCAAAAGCTTTGTGACCAAAACCCTTCTGGAGCAGTCTGGAGTGGATATTATCAACAAGATCAGGTGTGTTGGTGTTTGGTACAATGTTTTATGTTGTTGTTGTTGTTTTATTGAACCAGGAAAGCCAGTTTGAGATTAATTATCTAATTTACAAGAGTGTCCTGGCAGCAGATCAACCAATCCTGAGTCACAAAGCAGATATTCATTAGTCTAAGCATCTACAACCTAAACATCTTCCTCCAACACCTTCAACACTTCTAAAATGATTTAAAGTGACCAGCTCACACAGCCTAAGTCCTCCTGCAGAAGATTCCAAGCTGCAGGAGCAGAGTACCTGAAACTCTTTTTTTCCCCTAGGAAGTCTCTAGCTTCCAGCATTTTTCACATGAATAAAGTCACACCAGTAAGACAGAAGCTGGTTAAGTTTCTTTATTTATATCCTTATAAATAAGGATATGCAAATGATTGTCTACAAGTAGACAAAGCAAGTCAGCCAACACGAGCATACAAGAGTTAAATGCTGAGTTAGAGTAGTATTGAACCTTTGTGTATGGAAAACAAACAATAATTATTTCTGAAATAAACGCCCAGCAGCAAATTTTACTTCTATACAAGATTCTGAAAATTAAGCTTCATGGTTTTTTTTAAATGCAAGTATTGATCTCTTTGGATATTTTCCTTTCACGCTCCTCACTCACTGTGCTCAGGTACCCTGCCAGCTTGTTCTCTCTGTTTAGGGTCAAATAGAATTTATAATTTCTCTCTCTCTCTCTCTCTCTCTCTCAGTGAGGTGAAACTGAGTTTGGCCTCCTTCCTATCCGATCGCATTGTTGATGAGATTTTGGAAGCACTGTCCTCTTCCCAACTTACCCTGGTAAGAAAAGTTAACTAAACTCCAAACTGGCTCATTGATTCATTCATCATGCCTGTTAATTTCCAATGCTGGAACATAGTTTTAGGTGCATCAACTGATATTTAGCCTTTTAAGGTTATAGTTCTGCTACTTTATATGTCTGAATATGTTTATGTGATTGTCCCCCATTTCATCCTTTATTAGTTTCTCTGTTTGCCTTCTTTCCTCCATTCTCCTTCTTTCTTTTCATCTTGTCTTTACTCTCTTTTTTTCTTGTTCTTGCACCCACATCTTCTCACAACAACTCTGCTCCTGGTTACTCCTCCTCTCTTCAGGCTGACCACCTGGTGCGGCGAGGTCGCCCTTTGGTGCAGCAGGAATCAGTAGATCTGGATGTTCCAGAGGAGAAGATTCCTAAACGGGCATCAACAGAGATACTGGAGGCTGAGAGGCTGGAAGATCTGGAGACATGCATGGTAGGTTTGGGTGGTTAACCTGTGGACTTGAGCCCAATAGGTTCAAATATTCAACACAATTATTTAGCCAAGTTTGAGTTTAAAGATTAATCATGTTTAATAATTCACAATGTCATTATTTTATTGTTTTCACTGGATTAACAGATACACTCAACGCGAGCAATTTCACTGAGCGTAATATGCTATACAAGAGAATAAAAATATGAAATAGTTTCTAGTTAACATTTATACATTAAGGAGGGGCTTTATTTTGCAGGACTTAAGAGAATGATAAACCAAAAAAAAAAAATGTATTCACATTCTGTGTACATATATGGATTTTGAGATGAGGTGTGATTGGTTTTTAATTCATGTTTAATGAAGATTTGTAGCTGTTCATTAACTGAAGGCTACACGTTCCTGTCTCTGGTCTTGTCTGCTTCATCTCCCTTCCCTCTTTAAGGTCTATTGACCTTTAGTTCTCCTGTTTTCCAACAATAAAGAGCATTCAGAGGTCATGGATGTCCCAGCTTTCTCTATCATTTTGTCTTCTCTTTGCCTTACTGTGTTTTGTCTCTCTTCCTCTTCAATCTTCTCCTCCTCTTTCCTTCCTTCTCCTTCAACCTTTGCTCCATGGAGACTTTGTGCTGCACCAGTGTGAGTACTTCTCGTCTGTCCCTCTGCCTCTCTTCTCAACCATCTCTCTTTCTCTGCTGCAGCTTTTCTTTATCACAAACATGCTCCCATATTGCTTATTTGATCACTATAATTGAAGATAAGTATTGTCTGAAAATGCACTATGATTAAAGGGTGTTGCATTTATGTGTCACTTCCTTACTCTTAGTTGACACCTTTGATTGCCAACAATGAGAGAGGATATTTTGCTCAAGATTGCACCGCTTCTCCACTCAAAGCTTTACATGCTTTCACCTCAATAAAATGTTCTTAATGATATGATATGCATTTGCTTGGTATGCCATCAACACGTTGTTAATGTGGATCACAATACAATACAGTGTTTACCTGTTTACAAAGAAAGTGGTATTAGATTTAGCATTGTGTAAATTGAATGAGTTATAATTAGACTGTTTTGATCGATGGGGTGTTATGTCTGGTAGATTATGATATTCAATGGAGCTGTACATTGACTTTAAACAGAAAAGTTAGATTGTTGCTGATGACATGTTTTATTCTTAACAATCTAGATTGATTATTTATTCAAACAGGATGTTGTTTTTAAAAAAAAAATATTTTTTTTTTTAATGAAATGGAATGTTCAACCAGTCATTAATTATCCAAATGACAATTATTTAGACGGTCAGTCAATAATTAAAAAAAACTTCTTTTTCAGATGACTCCTAAATCCAAGAGGAAGAGTATCCACAGCAGAATGCTGCGGCCTGTGTCACGTGCCTTTGGTAAGCAGTTTTTATCATGTATTTTATTTTCAAAGGTAGAGTCAGTAGCATTGTTTGTTGCAGTTTCTAAACAAAACATTCAAAATGGGCTCATCCTCCTTGGCTCATCGCCCCCCCAGAAGCACACACCCCCTGAATGATGTAGTATGTAAGTTTACTGCTTGTACCTACACTGCAAGCTACCCCATGCAAGCACATGTTTTACACCTCCCTGCCAACAGATAGCTAACCGGAGGTTCACCCTCGTTTTACAAGGAGCTTGATCTGCTTGGCATTTCGCCTCACTGTGATTATATTTTCTCTTATTTACTGCGACATCTGCGTCCTTCATATTTGCTAGTTTGAATTGTATTAAATCGCTGAATTATATCCACTCCTAAACTCACCTACACACATCATTGGCTGGGGGAAACACACCAGCTGCCCGTCCAGAAACATCCCGTGTCAACCAAAACAAACCAAAACATGAAAATACAGAGGCCCATTCTGTGAGTGATGGTTGAGCAGCATTACTTTATAAAAGTATGTTATAATAGATAAGTCTTATAATATGTGTCTATATAATAATATATGTCTATATTTTATTTTTGAAGAAAAGCTACAGACTCTATCTTTAACATCATAAAGTTGTCAAACAATAAATATTATTTAAATGCTCTTTCCCACAGCTTTTTTTAAATTACTCTGAAAAGACTATTCAATAAATAATAATATTGATACTACTTACACCTTTTGGTGGGTAAGGGTACACTTGCATTATTTTTGTACATCCACTTGCACTCACACCACCTGTCCACTCTGCAGAGATGGAGTTTGACCTGGACAAAGCTCTGGAGGACGTACCTATGCATGTTGAGGACTCTTCATCTCGAACTCCCGCTACTCCCCCTACTCCATCTCAAATCCTGTCAAAACTGGAGCAACGTACACCGGGGGGGATGGTGGAGCTGCCGTCTGAGGAGGAAAAGAAGCTGCAGCACTTCACCAAGCTACGACCCCGACGGAACAAGAAAATGCATTCTAGCAAAGTACCTGTGAGTAGAGCTTGTTCATCCTTCAAGGTCAAGACATGATGGGGAAATCCTCCCTACATCGAATGTAAGGTTAAACAGAAAAGATTAAGAACAAGTGACATTTGGTTCTTCAACTTTGCCCCTTAGCAAATCAACAGTACTCCATCTCAGGATGGGGAGCAGAATGGCCTCATGGGAAGGGTTGATGAAGGTGTTGATGAGTTCTTCTCTACTAAAGTCACAAAGATGGATTCTAAGTAAGGACTTGTCATTAGTTACATTTTTTATCATTCCTGTATTTCCATTTCCAGTAGAATAATACTGCTGTGTACTTGTTCCTAATGTTTCTCGTTGCGTTTCCTCTCAGGCGTTCCCTGAAGAGTTCAGAATCTCAGGATGGAGAGAAGAAGAAGAGTAAAGGAGGATTCCTCAACCTCATTAAACGTTCCTCCAAATCAGATAAAGCAGATAAGTCTGAGAAAAACCCGCCGCCCCCTTCATCTTCTGTAACCTCAACGCCAGCTCCTACAATCCCTGAAGAGCCCTCCTCACCAAAGACGGCAGTAAGGAGCCCAGCACCGGAGCCAAAATCCAGGTAAACATCTCAACAAAAATATTGATATCTTTTTGTTTAGGAACAATACTTCACCTTTTAGCTATGTAAGCTTAGTGTACCAGGTACCACTGAGTCTCTAATAAGTCCTGTCTCTGCTGCAGAGACGCCTCCAGCCGCTCGCAGCACACAGACTACAGCAGCAGCTCTGATCGCTCAGAGGAGCTGAGGACTCCAGACTCCATTGACGAGCCTTGGGAAAGCTCAGACGGTCGGGGCAGTCCTCAGGGAGGTCGACGGTATCCAGGGTTACAGATGATGGGAAGTGGTCTGCTAGCAGAGATGAAGGCCAAGCAGGAGAGGCGAGCTCACAAGGTGAGGAAGGTTTCAAAAGTGAGCTCTGGGGTTCCAAGAAAGAAGGGAAGTAAGGGACAGATGAGAGACGGTTAGATTTGACAAACGTCTGGAAAGGACAGGATTGAGAAACATTAAGTACACAGTATTGTGCACCGGCAACTTTTATTAAAGATTCAAATTTACAGCATTTATTCTAGACAGGTAAAAAAGTCAATAGTAATAATAACTTTATTTATATACCAGCATTTAAAACAGATGTTTACAAACAAAGCAAAAGCAGGAACTCAGGGAATTATAAAATAACATCAAAAATCAGGCCAAACAGAGAGAAGTCTAGAGATTCATACGAAAGGGAAAGAACAACATGCAAACACAAAAGGTCAACAACAATCAATGCAAATAAAAGGAATTATGGTGATGAAACAGGCAGGTGGTGAAAGTCAAATTCATCTTCAAATCGACTTCCTGCTTCTTCTGGAGCCTGTAATCGTAGAACATGTTATAAGGTCAACATATAGATGCAGTGCTAGAGGTGTCATAAGGTCCAGGTCAGGTCAGTAGGAGGGCCGTGAGTTGAGATTGTTCAATCATTTATGAAGTACTCCTCTTTTGTCTTGATAAAGACAAATCAAATGAGGCATAAAGTTAGTATTAAACAAGAGTAAACAACGCTAAAACACAACAAGGTCAAATAAAGTAAAGCTTAGTTATTTTATTCTTTGTTAGATTGAACCTTCAGTTTTGAAGAGTAGACGTTGACTTGCTGATCTATAGAAATTGACTTTTAGTTACATTAAGTATCCAAATACTTTTTTATGGTAGGGTTGTGAGAGATGTTTATTTTTCCAGGTTTTCGACTTTGTTTTGGCCAGAAGGCACTTTTGATATTCATTTTACGCTTGTCAAGGCTGTGATGTTTACCAATTAAAAGGATTGCTCTCTCTCTCTCTCTCTCTCTCGCTCTCGCTCTCGCTCTCTCACACAGGGATGCTTAGATAAGAAGGCTTGTATATATCTTTAGGCTAGTCGTTCCGCCTGTCAGCATTTTGACAGAAAAAAAACAAACAAACCCAATTTTCTTCCAGACATCAACAATGTGTGAAAATGGTTCTTAGGTTGGAGAAGGATGGAGGGAAGTGCTAACAGGAGGGATGGAAGCATGAACAAAAATTGGATTGAAAGAAGGCTGATTCCCAAATTCTGTCATGACTCACAGCAGGATAGAAATGTGGTCGGAATATTTCACCTACATTAATTTCCTGAATTTACCCAGAAGCCTTTAACTTCAGCACAGTTCATACACTTGAATACTCAAACTAGGCTTGTTCATTTTTCTAAATCCACTTGCATCACCACTTTCCCTCAAAGAAGAGTTTTATTTTTATTTTCTTAGAAATCCACTTTATTTTGAGTCAAAAGTAAGAGAACAAAAGAAGGAATAACAGTTTGTTTTATGAACTGTATATTATACTGTATAGTATAATTTAGTGTTGGCAGCTGTAAGTGTGTGTTCACATGGTGTCCCTGTCTAGTTACTGCTCTGCAAACTGTTGGTGTGTAGGCCTGTGTCTGTGTGTTCACATGCACTAAGAGGTTTATAGTGTTGGAAGCATTAGGGTTTTTTTTTTCTGACCTTGTATCAGTGTCACTAAAGCTTCTTCTGCCATCTGCTTATTCTGGCTGGCTTCCAGCTGTGTGTGTGTGTGTGTGTGTGTGTGTGTGTGTGTGTGTGTGTGTGTGTGTGTGTGTGTGTGTGTGTGTGTGTGTGTGTGTGTGTGTGTGTGTGTGTGTGTGTGTGTGTGTGTGTGTGTGTGTGTGTGTGTGTTGTGTGTGTGTGTGTGTGTGTGTGTGTGTGTGTGTGTGTGTGTGTGTGTGTGTGTGTGTGTGTGTGTGTGTGTGTGTGTGCGCGCGCGTGTATGTCTTGTGTGCATGTGTTTTTTTGTGTGAAGGTAAAATGGTCAGCTACTCAAAAGACAGGTCAGGACTAACAGAGCATGGTTGTGTAATCTTTAGCTTTAGCATAATGTAAGATTGTAACTCAAGGGTGCCCCCTTCTGTTCAACTTTAGCTCTGTAGTGCTACATGAACATTAAGTCTGACAGAATTGCACTTCTCCATTCAGTTTAGATAAGAGCTTAAAACTAAAATGTGCTTAATGTAATGGGAGAATTATATTTTTAAAGGATTGTAGTCTGTTGTTGTGTTTGTACAGACGGTATTAGTTGGTATCAAGATGTAAAACTGGAGGAATAATTCTTGGTTTTACTTTTCTGGCTTAATCCCTTTTTATATGTTGTCCTTGTGTTTCTTCCAGTCTTCCAGCCCGGACAGGCCTGACAGCAATGCAACAGGTAAGCAATGGTTTGATAAATACAGAAAGAAATATATTAAAGGGGCAGTAAAAAACCTATGAACAAAGCTGTTTTATAAAGCTAACTGTTGCTGATTAATGCAGACCTGTTTTTGGCTATAAGGAGCTATATTGTGGTTCATTATACTGTATAAGAACTGGGTTCATACAGAACATACCGTAAAAGCCATTGTCTGCATGCACAGTTTTTAAATAGATTTATGTGCATCTTTTTTTTGTATATGTAAGCAGCCAAATCGCAGCCAACGGTTTCAGAGAGCAGGTCTTCTGCTGCCCCAATTAATAAATCAGAACCTCGGACTGGCTCTCCGGAGAATACCCCATCTCGTGTCGAAGCCAAGCCAGAGCCGGCCCCTCGTCTCAGGGCTACGTCCTCCTCCAGTTCCCCTGGAGGACCAGTGAGTCCCAAACCACCGGTGCCACAGGGGGCAAAGCCTGCACTGGCTGCACGACCCACAATCCCACAGAAACCAAGGAGCGCCAGCAGCAGCAGCACCAGGAGCCTGGGTACAGTTTGAGCTTTCAAACCCACAATTAAATGAATATTTGTAGCTGTTTGACACACAGAACATACATGTTGAGTTTTTACATTGTCTTTTTGGTTGTTTTCACAGATGAGGGTCCAGAATCACCCAGCAGTGGCAGCGTGTCTCCTAAAGCCTCAGCTCTTCCTTCAACTCTAAAGAAGATTCAGACAGAGAAAGAGAAAGACGGACAGACCGGTCTACAGCCAGCAAACAAAACCACTCAGGACGGTAGGTCACAAAATCTGTCTGTTGATGAATAGACTTTTCTATTTCTCCTGTAAACACTGTTAGATGACAGGTTGTCTGACAGGTGTTAGTCCAGAGTTCACTCTACGTTTTCATTGTTCCCATGGACTGTCTGTCTACACCTACAATATGACAGACTGATAGATTCAGGTCACAGTTCTTTCATCCCTTTCATCTACCATATATTATGTAACAGTCAGGCAGCTTTGATCATTTTTTCCTCACGTCTTCCCTCCTCTCTCTCTCTCTTATGTTTTATGTATCCTCTCTTCCTTTTTCCCTGTATGTTATTCGTGTCACCCATTGGGGACTGTCAAGCATTTGCACTTCTGATACATTTTCATGATCTCAGGCAAATTTATTTTTACTTATGCTACTTGTTTGTTGGGGGATGGAAGTTTAAAATAATTAGTGCTGCTCAGGGACTCAGATCCTGTTCACCCTCTGAGTCACTGAAGATTTCTTACATTGAAGACAATTTCCAAAAGTGAAAAAGACATTTGGGAGAATTTGTGGAGAGATTGTCACTAAAGTTTTGATATATTAAAAATCGAGGAAATATGGTTTTATTTTGCTACACTTTCTGATTTCAAACTGGGTGTAAGTTCTTATTTGTAGATAAGTCAACCGTCTTATTTACAGCCAAATGAATCCAAAGATATTTTTTATAATAATCATCATACTGTATCCTGTTTCATGTCTCTCTCCCCCTGCGATGCTTCCCGTCTCTTTGCTCTTCTGATTTTCTTCTCTCTCTCTCTTTTATTGTTTTAGTGAGGGCGGGCTCTGTGTCAGACTCTCTGCAGCGACCCAGCCCTCTCCGGACCAACTCTGAGGATCACAGCTCTTTCAAGACCAAGGACCAATCTCCAAACCGGGACAAGGACAAGACGGCGCGCAAAAAATCCTCAGACTCTGGAGAGGAGGTGGACAAAGAGTTTATTTTAATATGAGTGAGACAAAATGGTTGATAAGCCTCACCTTTATAAAATCAAACGTGGGGGGAATATGATCATCATATTTTCATCTATATCAGAGGTTGGATCTGTCAGACCTCAAATTATGAATCACACTTGGTTTGCAGGAAGATCTGCTGGAGTATCAGGTAATACAACACTTCATACTGAAATTAATAAGGTTGTCATTTATATGGTTTCTTTATTTTACCGTTGGAGAAATATCCTCAAATCATTTTTCAGTTCTAAAATGTCACCAAGTAAAACAAAACTAAGAGCTTCCTTCTCATTTAAAGCCTCTTCACTTGTTCTGTTCCTTTTCTCTGCTGTCAGGTGAAAACATCTCGCCTCTTAAGTAATAAACTTTACAGGATTTAATTAAATGGGCTTTGGGTTCGTTAAGCATTGTTTTGTTTTTTTAACTTTAAAAAAAAAGACATGATGCTTTCAGGACACAGAACACTTTCTGTTCGAATGGCACAGAGTGGGAGTCTGTGATAATCTTGCGTCTCGTTAATTACTTCAGTTGCTGGTTTCACAGGGACCAAACACACATCACACTAAAACCAGGATCACTACTGTACTTGAACTCAAGCCAGATAAGGACCCAGTGACATTCTTCTCCTCTAATATATTTATGTAGATTTTCTATTTCAGTGCGTGCAAGTTACTTTTTCTGGATTCCAGAGGTGACTGAATCATTATGCAATTCATCTTTTGTTTTCAGGATAACACAGGTCCAGCTGAGACTCTCAGCCTGCCATACATCACAAATACACATTTGATGTAGCTTACCTGACAGTGAAACCACAGGTCACTCAGAGGAGACCGGCTGTCTGAAAACTGAATTTACAGACTTCTCAAACAGCCTGACTGGACTCAAGTTTGTCCCTGTGTGAGGGAGTTGGAGTGACCATATGAAGTGTTGCTTTAGGAGGACTGTAGTGCACTTTTACTTTACTGATAACCAATGAATAAGGCTTCAGCACTGTTAACTAACACTGTTCTCTGTGTTTATACTTTGATCTCATGAAACCTTTAAACTGCAGAAGACTTTTTTTCACATTGCTTTAGGGGGAAAGGGAGTATGTGTCTGTCATTACAGAGTGAAATACAGAGTGACACTGTAAATATAAATGTTACAGCTTCATTTCTAGATAATACTTCTTTCAATACACTTTGTCCCAATGATTTGCATCAGTCATACACACTCTGTACTGCTTGTAGAGACAGATGGATCCTCCAACATGTTATATTGCCCTGGTGTGCTTATTGTTCAGTGAAGGCAAATAACTAACTTAGCAAGAGGAATATCATGGATAATCTGGAAGGTCTTTTACTTCCTGTTTCAGGGTCTGATTTGATTTAGAATAAGACAGAAACCTCTCTAGTCTTTGAGTAAAAGCATGAAACTGACGGAACTCCTTCAAATACTCTTCTCCTCAGGCTGCAGACTTGACCTTCAGGGCTTTCAAGTTCAATTAACTTTACTTCCATTCTGTGCAAGACAAGACATTTCTCAGAAAAAAAAAACTGGTTGCAATCATATTGGCATAGTAAAAAACTAACGGGAATGCAGCGCCTGAAGGGAAAGTGAATCGCATTTTCAGGTCCTGAATGCTACCCAACAACAACAACAACAACAACAACAACACAGGTCTCAGGCTGTCCTCTTATGTTTGTTTTTCAGAGCAAGAAATGCCCTTTTCACACATTCGCAAAGTCAGCAAACAGAATCTCATTTTTTTTAACTAAAAATCAAATCATTGATAGATATGGCTTGAAGAAAAAAAATCACAAATCTCAACGTAAAGTTAACGCCTTAAAGTGTTGATGGTTGTCTTTGACATAAAAACATGCAGTTTTAGTTTGAAAGTAGATTCAAACAGACGTTAAGCATTTGTATTAGAAATACTGAATAAAGAAAGTAAATTCATTATATTTTTTTAATGCTGAATAGCATCAACATCAAAGTCATAACTATGACTGGAAACTGTTTTGAAATTTTCCTGAAAGAAGGAAATACATATAAATCCTTCACAGCAGTCTAACAATCTTAGGAAACCAAAGCATAAAGCAAAGTATTTCTAACGCTTTAATAAAAACAACTCTGCAGACCTACAGATTGTTATACATTTTTTTCATCCATGCCAACATCCTGCATGATGTCATTAACACCCATCAAACTATTATTTTAAGATATCATCCTCAGTGGAAGGACGTCTTTGTAATTGATGTCTGTATTAAACTGTCCTTAACATTAACCTAAAATCTGCTCTAACCTCTGCTCTTCATGCGCTGTGTGAAAGGGGCACACCTTGTGTTTAACTGTACTGTACAAGTCTAATTCAAGTCAGGACCAAAGGTCTCACTGGTGCACCTTTTCTATGGTGTCTATGGATGTCTTTTTATAGGATTATAAAAAACATGACTTCCTTACTTCTTTGTCACTAATAGGGGAATGGGAATAACACTTTTTCTGCTGCAAGTCTCTGATGTCAACAACTACATATGTTTACTGTGCCACACCCAAAACTCAGACATCACTTTTATTTTAAAAGATGTTGCAGGAAACAGAAATAAACACTCCTAATAGGTGTTATTTTCTGTTGACAGTTAATTTTTTTTCCTGAAAATAATCGAGTAAGGACATCATCTTCTTCCTTCCTTTGGTGTCAGAAGCCGCTGACAGTGTTTCTGTCATGTTTAAAAAGACTGATGATGATTTCCTGTGCTAGCCTGATAATTAGCACCCTTCTTTTCTCTCGCAATGGTGCAGGGAGCTGAGAAAATGAAGAAAAAAAAAAAAGAGTCCAGACTCCTGAGGCTTTGTGTGACTGCATGATGTAAGGTGTACTGTATGTATATATGTGTTTTCATACACGTAGGAGTGTGCGTGTGTATATATGTATGTGTAATATACACACATGTAACATTCACACTGTGATTCAACACGCCTATGTGAAAGCAGCAGATCCTTCATTGTTTTGGTACTAAGTACACTACTTTACTAGGGGTTTGTTGATAACTTATTTGGAATAAAAAACAGCGACCGTCTCAGTTTTTCCTGTTTTTTCTCTCACATGTACATTGTGTTCATAAATGTAGAAATTAATTCTTTGTATGTATTAATTTGTTATGACATGTAATCGATTAAATGTTACTTTCATCATGATTCACAAAAAGAAATAATGCAAAACAACCACTGTTTTTCCATGAGCCGGAAAGAAGCAAAAACACAATGGACACGTTGCTTATAATTTGTTTCATTGCCACGATTAATCAATATGTTTCTGCTGGTGTCAAACATTTCTTTGTGCAGATATCAAAATTGATTAAAATAATTTTACAGGCTTCAAAACATGTGCATTGTTTCTTTGTGTAACTGCTCTGAAAGATTTATTTGCAGTGTATCCATACAGCCACTAGATGGTAGAAACATTTCTACAGTTCGCTCTGTCCTTCACACAGAGGAGGTGTGGTTTAAGTCAGAGTAACAAGTCTGTCAACCAAGGAGGCGACTGAACAGGGTTTCACAGTTAGTCCACTCAGTCTCGTGTTGAAGTTAACAGCTGTCTTTTCTGTTCCTTTATAAAATGGAAAGTGCTTTTGATAACCTGGATGCTGCTGGTTTTCTGGAAATCTGGCAACACTTTGATGCAGATGGTGAGGAGAGTAAATTTGTATATATTTGTTTCTTTTATCTTTTCAAGTACCTGCCTAAAGAGATAAATAAAAGTGTATTATCATCCTTTTGTTTTTGAAATGTAAAGGATGTTTTTTGGACTGAGCATGTGAGTCCTTGTTATAGGAAGTTTAAGTTCTTACGTGAAATATGTTTGAAGACTGTTTTTTTTTTCTACCCAGAGTTAAAGCTATTTGAGAAATAGTCTCACGATTCTAAATGTGTGTCTGAAAGGATCTTGATGCAGAGGAGAAACTGCTTAACAATCAGCAAAAACATTCAATCTGAAAATATGGAGATAAAAGAGTTGAGATGGAGCTGAAACGCATCTCATCTTAAATTCTGCCTCGTTCTTATTTTTGTGTAAAATTGTCTTTGGTTCCTTCACTAACAAGAAGGCTTGTACTGCTTGTTTTTCATTTGACAGATAATGGCTACATTGAGGGTAAAGAGTTAGATGAGTTTTTCCGTCACATGATGATGAGACTGGATCCACAGGTAAGTTACTTTGTTCAGAAAAAATCATCCGGAAAGTGTGATGACAGCGGTTGAATACATTGCATGTCAGGGGCAGCTGAACTGCCACAAAGCGAGCAGACTGCAGCACCATCATTATCTGATTTTACAAATTATACTGATCCACATGACAATTTTATTAAAGTATACTTCATAATTAATTGTATGTTATGTAGTAGACACGGTTTATCAGAAAGGCAATGATTCATTTTGAAATGTGCATCCTTACATACAATTTTAAATCAGTTTTTAGAAAAGTACATTTGACATCACTTTATCTCTGCTGTGTAGTCATCTGAACATTGATCCAGGATGGGTGTGGTTACTGTTAAGGGTGTAAGACACTACACAATCAAGAAGCTCTGGACACTGTCAAACAAGATCCCTCAACTTGAATTTACTCTTTAATTTTCTCCCTGAAGCAACAGGAAATGAAAAACTGAAAAATATAACTGATAAGTCCATTTCCTGTGTGTGTGCGTGCATTTGTGCTAATGGAGTTGTTCTAAAACAAACAGACCCTGACCACATGTCACTCTCTGTCTGTCTAATGTTTACTCTCCATCACTTATGCCTCAAGGATAAGCCCTTGTTTGTGTTTTTCTCTGCACAGAATACAGCACAGACTAGTTATCTTAATCTACCCACTCAGCTGTAGAAGAAATGTGAAATAAACCTCATGGTGCTTTTATACTCTTTTTATACTCACTGGTAACATATGAGAGCTTCTATTATCAATGCATTTTTATAAATCTGCATGTGATAAACTGCAAGTTAATATAGGATTATTCATGCGGTGTGCCATTATTTTATTGCTTTACATTGTAAAGCTCCTGTGAGGAGCTTTTTTTGCATGTCAAGTTTTGTCAAGTGTGATCTTTTATTTCTATGCTGATTGTATCCTGTACAAGAGTAAGAATTAAAAAAAAAGAAACAAACTCATCTTACTTTATTGTAACAGTCAAATGTATCACTCATTTAGAATCTTTGTAAAGGAAAATGTCTTTAAGAATGTTTCTGCAGTGTGCTGTTGCTCACTTCATAACCCTTTCCCCCCCCGGTGGTGGTAATTGGGGATACAAATGCATAAACGCTTAATGTCAATACTGTAAAAACTTCTGCTTAGCAACAGGCGAGAGCTGGCGCCACATGTGGTGTATTGCAGGAGAGTGATGAAGATGAATACATTTGTCTCGGTATATGAGTGCTGGTCAGGCACGTTGTAGATACAGTTCAATGATTGAGGGTTTCCAAAGAGACACTGGTAGAAAAGCTTCTAAATTTGTTTCACAATGAAAAAAAAAGAAGCTTGTTTATACAGGAAGAGAAAATGTTATCCTTGTCTCAGATAACTGTACATCATGCTCTTTGCTTTGTGTGTGAGAAAGACTTGGTTGGCCAAAACATGTAAAGTGAGCTTTATTATGAACAAGACTCAGCTTGGGTTTCAAAAGGCAAAACTTGAATAAAAAAAAATCCAGGAGCAAAGAAGTATCCATGGTGACTGCTTAAAATAAATGTGACTCAGCCAGAACAGGATTTGTCCTTCAATAACAAGAGTTCAAGATTTAGGGACATGCTTTCGTCATGATTTAAAGGAACCATTGTAAAGCAGATGCTCTAGCTTTTTTCTCATATTTTTTATACTTTTGGGGTTTTTTTTACATTTCATTTTGCTCTATCAAAGAGTGCTCACATGGTGATGTTTTATACAATTAGTGAATGTGCCTTAGGGGTAAGAAAATCAATGTTGCATTTTCATGTCCTGTGTCTTTGCAGGAGAAAGTTACTGAGGAGAGAGTTCAGAGACTGAAACAGAGGTTTATGTCGGCCTATGATGTCACCGCTGATGGGAGACTACAGATCCAGGAGGTACTGCATGGTTCATGTGTCTAAATTCCTTCTCATTGACTTTACATTTATTTAATTGATACTCAATAGGCTGCTGTATTGTGATTAAAGTTGACAAACTAATGTAACTATTTCCTTTTTTTCATTTACATTTTAGGATTTTTCTCTCCTCCATCTGTTCTCTCTCTCATTCTCTACTCATTCTTCCTCCACCTTTTATTTGTCTCCTGTATGCATGATGATGACACAGCTTGTTCAGCATTCAACGAGAATGAAACTAACGTCCAGAATTACTGAGAGTAATTCTGAGACACCCTGTAGAGTGAAAAAATATCTTAATGGAAAATAATCTAATACCCTTTTGAGATTTTACCAACAATACATCATAATTGCTTGTAATTACTTAAAGTTAATTATAAAGTTGCTCTTTGATTGAATAAATCTATCCAATCAATTCAAACTTGATTGATAAAGTCACAGATTACAGTTTTTTCCAAGAAATGTAACACTGAAGTTTGATTACATCGAGCTCTTGATTTTTTTCTCTGCCAAGAGCTCCCATTAAAACTCCACTCTGTGTAAGTGACACTGCTCATGGTACACTATCAGCATTTCTTCAGAACAGTTCATTCTATAAAGGAAATTGTAAACATGCATTAGGCCAATCCCATATTAATGTATTGAACTCAGACCTCCAACACATTGGGTTTCATACAGCTGGAAAAATCAATACATGCTGCCTTCAATGGCCCGTTGAAGACTGAGATTTACTGTCGCTGATGCAGGAACAGTAGGATCAAACCTCTTAGCACAGAAGATTCTTTTAAAGTTACACAACCTTGACAATAGATTTAACCATATATTTTTTCACTTTTAAGCTACCTTTTCTTTTAACTTCTTACGGAGGTAGTTTTATCCTCTGAGGGCCACCTATCTCTTGACTTCAAATTGCCATACTAGCTCTCTCAGTCCAGTGCACACACACACACACACACACACACACACACACACACACACACACACACAAAAATAAACATTGCTGTCAAAAGTCAATATCAATTTGAATTGCTTTCACTGATATAATCCCAACAGAACAGGCTACACACACTTGCCAAAATACTTCAGTATAAACTGTTCAGTAAGTGTGTTATCATGATTTTGGTAAATATGTGTAGATAATATTTTTACAACCCCAGAGAAGACAAAACCTTGTGCCCCCTAAGATATGTTGCTCCTAGGATGGACCCTATGGTTGTGAACCAGTGACTGACAGAATGTAGCTGATAGAAGACACTTGGACTAGTCCTTTTTGTTAAATAGTAGAAACATTTATTGAACTCAGCATCAGACAGATCTGAACTGGGACTGCTACTGCACAGTGCCAACAGAAAGAATCTAGACTCACGTCGTGACCACATTTGCTAAATATGTTTTTACTAAGCACTTTTTAATGTTACCCCTGATTCTAGTTCTCTGTGTGATGCTGAATCCTCTCTGCAAATTGCAAAGGAAGGAAGTTCCTGGCCACAAAGCTGACGTGTGATATCTTGATAAGTTCTGTTACTTCTCTAGTTTAGTGTCAGAAGACTGTGTTTGCTAGTTATCAGAAAAGAAAAATGTGCTTCCTCTCTTGAAGCAGGATGTCTTCTGACTTGCTTGCTTGCTTTATGTAAACAGTCTTTTTGAGGAAAATCTTCTTTTTAGTTTGTGTTTTGTTGCATACCGAATCCTGGGTGTGATTCCACTACAACCATTAAGCATTTTTGATATTTGATTGACCAACAAAGCTTTTATTTGTCTGTCTAAACTAAATATCGCTTGGGTTTTGCACTTTTGTGTGACAAGAGAAGTATTTTGCAAATATCCAACTCTTGCAAACAGAGATAGTTTTGCAGAATCAACGATGATTTAGAAAAAAATCCAAGCAAAAGATTAACAATATAAAACTAACACTTATGTGAACATAGCAGGAAATACACAAATTGGCCGTCTTGGTTTTTGTGTGCAGTTTTGTGGCTTTTTTTCTTAACATCTTGCCCTTCTTAGGTTGGCATCACAGTTGGCGCATTGCGTTTGAACTGACTGTGAGCTGTTCTGCAGCTTTCTGATCTAAATGGCTGCAGTATCATCTTGTATTTTAATTAAATTGATGTTGGGGGTCGGTTTAATCTGCTAATGCACGGCTGGTACTATTAAAGAAGGACAGACAGGACAAGTGCAACATGAACTGGAGTTAAGCCAGGAGGAGCTGCGGTAGAATATAAATCACACATTCTCTCTGTCTGACCTGCATGCAGGGAGCTTCAGTT